GCGATCGAGACCTGGTGTCTGTAGTCTTTTTTCATGCGATAGGTGGGGTAGACAAAGTCGAGCTCCAGCAGTTCTATACGCATTCTGTTGATAGCGTCTGCGTTATCCGCACCACCCCCTTTGTTAGAAATGATCATGTAGCGACTGAGATCGCCTTTTGGGAGATCGACGCGAATCTTCACCTGTGTGCCCGGAGACAGCCAACTATCCCCACTGGAGAAGAGGCAGAGGAGTGGGCGAAACTTATACTGAAAGTTCCCGCTAAGGACACGGACGACATTTTCTTGTACCGTATTCGAGAAGGCTTTGGTTTAAGAGAGCTGGACACCAGGCGCCCTTTTGAGGGTATTATCGGCATTAAAGTCAGGGTCGGCTCCGCCTGCTGTGTTTGTTGCAAAGGCATAGCCAACGCGACGGTCTACTCCATAGGCGTAGGTCGGCAAGGGGAGAGCTTTCAAAGCCTTTTTGGGATCCTGCTTATGTAAGCCGAATAAGTCACTATCCGCGTATTGCAACTTCCCGATCGAGTTCTCCATAAGACTCGGATGTGCTGAACAAGTTGCATATCAGCCACGACGCCACTCTGCGTTACCTCTTGTCCGTTGAGCTCCACACGGGGATAATCGCCCGTGTTTGGTGGATTGCGATTGTCTTTTACTGCGTACCGCATCTTGACGATGAAATAAGATTCCGAAAGTGCCATAAAGTTGTTTGTTGAGCTGATGTCTATCCCAGTCGAGAGGCTAGGATTGTCCGGATAGAGAGTGACCCTAGCTCGCCCCTCAAGCAGGGGGACCTTATTTTCGGTCCTCTCCTCGATGGCATCCTGGACTAACTTCACACGTGACAGCAGACCAAAAAAGGGCTCGGGGATTTGGGATGTGTCAAGAATCGTCGCCATGGTTCACCTTTGGCAAATTTGTCAGTGGCTTGTACCTCGAATTGGATGTAAGGGGGTTGTTTGGTTATGTTTAAACATGGCAGCAGCAACAAGCGTAGACCTATCCGCGGTGAATAACTCGCCGGCGGTCAGCCTCGGCCTCCTCGAGAGTGCCCAGTTTGAGCTCCATTATCTGAATGTCGGGCCTGAAAGCAACAAGCTGTACGTTGTTATTGGTGACAGCGAGACCGCGCTCAGCATCTTCACGAGGACATACAAAGAGGTCGGGCACCTCATCAAAATTATAAACCAGACTCTGGCCAACGCCGCTCATGACGGTATAGTCTTCAGCTACGTCCGGGCTTAAAGCCGAGTTCAGGTCAGGGTGCCGGCTGGTAAGACGGTGAAGATGAAAAAAGAAAGTCCCTCCCTCATCCTCGGTTTAGGCGAAATTGCAGCAGGTAAGTCATGGGATGCCGCAGGTGGCTCTTCTGGAATCGTGAAAACCCTACCTTATACAGTAGATCTGAGCGCGGGTTGGCGGGCAGTCCTCCTTTACACGGATCTGATCTACCCCGCTGTGGTGTATGAGGACAACTCTGACAACCGGGTCCTCAAGACCTTTCTCGTGCAGACACTCAACGGCATTAACAATTATGTGTTTGCTAAGCCCGACTTGCGGCGTCTACGCCCCTACCAACAAGTTAATGAGGAGTCCTTTTGGTTGAAATTCAACACTGGAAGTACACTTCCAAAGGGTATCCGATCTTTTTGTATCTAAGAACCGTTGATATCGATTAATTTTAATCAGAGATTTATTGTGCCAAAAGATGATATGAGCAACGTATCAAGCTAATGATTTGTTTTCCGGAGGAGCTTTGAGTTGCCTGACATGGTGTTGCTGCAGCAGCTCGCTACGATCTCAGGGGTCAAGCTCTGCGAGGTTTCCCACTTCTGGAGTTCGGCGATATTGCCGATGTCTCGCTGGAGAGCAATGTCTCAGGAAGCGTTCGTTGACATGAGGAAAAAGAACCTACCGTGCGCGGTGCGGAGAAAAGGCGGCATTGCTCATTGCGGCCGCTGCCCACTTATTGTAGAGGCGCTCCAACACCTCGAGAATGTTTACAGGCGCATCATCGACAACTGATTAACGCCGGCAAGCAGCACCCTTGTGCTTTTTTAGACTCTTGCTGTGCTTCTTGTAATTTCGCTTATAATTATTTCTGATGTGATAATTACAGTATAAGGAATGGAAGATGGATTACCCGCTCTCGAGCGTTGACATCGAACGCCTGTGAGTATATGCAAGGTGTGCTAAATAGCAATCACTAGTAGCATTGTATTTGCAAATACAAACAGAATGTAACCAACATGTCTTTAATTATATAATTACATGAATGTTAAAATTGGTTCATGTGTCATGCTTACTGGTAAATATCTTTTCATATAATCAAAGCTCGTTTAAATGTAAATCTGAAATAATTTAGTTTAGAAATTATAATCATCATCAGAAAAATTACCTAGTGATCATGAAAAATACTTTGCTGTTTTGCCAAATTTCAAGGTTTATCTGCATACATAGAAAGACATTTTTACTTTATAGAAATGCTTTTCATACATCAATAGCCCTTTGTAATTTATGGCAAACAAACTGGTATGAGCCGTAGATCAACACACTTTGACATCTCTACATGAGGTGTTCGGTTAGAAAAGGGGACAATATGCGACATGGGACAGTATTTCATGTATGTGAAATACTCAGGTTTAATACCATTCCAGTCAAATTATCAAAATAAAAAGCTTCATAGATCAGAAAAGACTCAAAATCACAGGTTATAGTAAACAGCTTCTCATGTAATCAATGTTAGTTTTCTCAAATCTTAAACAATATGTAGTATAACTGTCCAATGATTGAATGATCAATGATCATAAACTGAAAAGCCCCAAACATTTGTTTATGATAAAGTAAATAATAGTATGGCGCCTTATGGCTACAGATTTTTTGTCCATTGATATATATTTGCAGGAATGTAGGATTTCGCTGCCATATAACGGTCACGATTCCCCAAGCACTAAAGAAATCATAGCTAAAAGTCCTTCGTCAACAACAATTTTAGAAGCATCAATCTGCTTACCATACGCCATATTGACATAAATCGCAATCACATACTCGCATAAATTGCATAACTTTGATATTTTACATTCATGCATACACTTCAGTTGTCCTTTACTTACGATTTTGGATGTAAATTTCTGCTGAGAAAACTCAAAACAATATTGACTTGCTTTTGAACATCAATGACTGAAATGTCGCTCGCGAGATCGCCTTTGCCAAGCATTTACAATTCATCCATAAATTTTTCACCCTCTTGAAAAAATTCACAGTTTGGACAGCAGCATTCATGTCAATATATGAATTTGTAAAAGATTTCCATAAATTTTATCTGATTGTAGTTTAGTTTCTATCATGCTTTAAAAAAACTACTAAAAAACGATCAAACATTCAATTCAGACGGTGAGCTTGACTATAAAGTCAATGGTTTGAACCCGAGAGTATCGTTACTAGTTTGTAAATGTAGATCGTCCAGATTGGTATAGTCCTGAGAAGGACTGTTTTGTTGTTGTTGACTGACGTTTCGACAACCTTAGCGGTAGTCATCTTCAGAGTTAAATGAGGAGTAAATGTCAGGTTAGCCGTATTTGTTATATAGTTCTTACGTATTGTAATGTGTGTACAGGAAATGTGTATTGTCATTGTGAATTAGTGTGAAGTGTAATGTTTTTAGTTGATCGTTTGTTTGTATTGTGAATAAGTCGTTTGTAAGGTGCCAGTAACTGCTGTGATCTATTCAGGGGGATTTGTTCCAAGTTGGTATACCAACTTTCTAATGTAAGCCGTTGTCTGTAGTCAGTACTGTAAGTAATGTATTTTGCCGAGTCCTAGTCAATGTTTTGCTTTTTGATTCAGTGATGTTTAGCAATGTGATTAGTTTTGCCTCATTTCTTAGTAGCTCGTTTGTGTTCAGTAAGTCTTATGTTTAAGTTTCTGCCGATATAGTAGGCGTGGAAGTCGGAGCAGTTTATTTTGTAAACTGCACCTTGTCGTTCGTTGGGTAGTTCTTTGTCCTTTATGTTTGTTAGTACTTGTAACGTTGTGATTGGTTTTTGTGCGACATGTATGTTGTATGGTCGTAAGATACGCGAGATAGTCTCAGACGTACCTTTGATGTAAGGAATCGTTGCTGTTGTCACTGAGTTGTTCGTTTCGTTGGGTTCGTTGGGTTTGTAAGTGTTGCGTTTGATAAAGTCAGAGTTATAGTTGTTTTTGTAAAAAACACGTTTGCGATAGTTGTTTTCGTTGTGTAGAGCGTCCGGTGAATCACATATGATTTGTGAACGTCTTGTTAATGTTAGGATTGTGGTGGCTTTGTGTGATGTAGGGTTGTAAGATGATTGGTCTAGTAGTCGATCAGTATGTGTTGGCTTGCGATAAACTGTTGTTCGTAGTTTTTGATTGTCATGTTTTACCAAACAGTCGAGAAAAGGAAGAGTTCCGTTTTCTTCGACATCTTTGGTAAATTGTATGTGGCTGTTCTGTTTGTTGATGTGAGTGTGAAAGTCATCACTCTCGTCTGCATGTAGTGCTGTGATTGTGTCATCTACTTAGCGGAACCAAAAAGGTAGTGCATGTTTGTAAGTCGTGAGCACCCGTTCCTCTGAATATCACTCATGAAGACATTTTACACGATATTAGAGTGATTTAGCAAACACGACGTTTCGTCTAAGACGCCGTGAAAATGGCGTGGCATGCGCCTTTTACTAATGGTCCAATCTACCACGGCAGTCGTGTTGACGACGACGACGTGAAAACATACAATTTGACGTCGTATCGACGACGGCTAAAACAAACTTAATTTTTTGATAAAAAATAAGGAAATATCCTTGATATTTGCAAGTTACAAGATTATATAGGCCTACATATATTTATTTGAGAAAAAATTGCGAATATTTTTTTCCAAAAGCGAAAAAAACAAACAAATAAACAACGCGGGGTCTGCTCTAATTTCGGGGCTTTCCTCGGAATTAAAACAATTTTAGTCACAAAGCCGTATGTCGATGATTTTGCTTTTATTTATAATTTTATTGAAATGAATATCCTGCAGTATATTTTTGATATCAAAAATTTAGTTTAAAATGACCGGAAAACACGATCCAACAGGAAAAATATCGAAATGGATGAAACTTGTTTCAACTATCATTTGACGAAGTCCTTCAAAGGTTTGCTAAATCATTAATACTTTACGACGTGGTGGCGTCCTAGACCCAGATCCCTCGCAAAAATTTGACGACGTCTTAGACGAAACGTCGTGTTTTCTCAATCGGTTTATTGTCTATAAAGAAAGGACAATTTAATCTTTTATTTCCACTACGAAGGAAAAAAGTCAGCACATTGTGCTAAAAAAGATGATCAAGAAAATATTAATTAGGTGGCGTTTATCACAAATAAAAAAGAATAAATTTGATTGGATAATTGATTCTGGTGCCACTTAGCATTTGATGTTTGAACATGACTATTTATCGGACTATGAAGAGTTGAGAAAGCCAACGAAAGTAATTCATGCGGATGAACGTTTAATATTGGCTTATGGGAAAGGAACTTACCGCGTGGCCATTGATTTATATAAGTCACATTAACGTAGCGTAATTTGGGGGCAAAGTGCAACATTTTCCATTGAAAATGAAATATCTGAGCCATTAAACGAAGCTTAAATTTAAGAGTCAGTCAGTGGCATCTCCGTGACGATGTCATGTAAGAAAAGTAAACTTTAACACATTTGTTTGAAACGTAAAAAGTATGGCGGCCGTCAAATTAAGACACTTTGCGAGCAAATTGTCTTCAACAACATGTATAGCCTTTAACAAAATTTATATTTGAGATCTTAAATATAAATGTTGTCAAAGGCACCGTACTGCCTCGGAGAAAGTGAGACTGTCACCATAATGAGTAATGATCATAAGATATTATGTGTCTAGCGTATCTTAATTTGTGTTTTTTCGTGTATGTTGTAAATTTGAAGCGACTATAAGGGCAATGAAAAATATTTCCTCATACAGGTTTAATTCTTTGCTTCAATATTGACTGCACCATAATTGATGTGTATTTCAAATCTAATCTAATGTCTAGTTTGTTTTTAACAGAGGTTAGAGATGGGTAGAAATCATGTGCAACAGACATGCCAAGATTCCGGAGTGAGTATAATATGAAAGTGATACAAACTGTCTAATGAAGAAGGCGGCCAAATGACGAGCATCTATGCTTAAATTTTCATATATCAACCTTAGAGTCAACAGCTTAGCATCGACGAAAGACAATTGCAACAAGCTTACAAAGTTTAGCAAAATTCTTTGGCCGCATTTAAAATGTGGACCAACAGAATTGGACAAGCGATACTAGTTTATGACAAAGATAAAAAAAACACTTTCTGATCAATATTTCTACTTTTAAAACGGCTTAAATGATGACATGCATGAGTCCATTTGCAATTTTAAAGTAAAAATTGAGTCATAAATTTCCTTCAATAGGCCATATAACACAAGCCATATATAAGGTTAAAAATGAAATAACACATATTTTACAAACAGACCCTTTGGGCCAACGAGTAATACTTACTATAACAATCATTTTAACTTCCTTATAAACGAACCACATCAACGTAAACATACCTTGTTTAAGATCGCAATGATTTGTTTTTGGTAAGCAAACTGTTCTTGTTTGGAATTGTAACTTTGTTTGACTTTGATTTATCTACAATTATAAGCTTCCATGGGTCACATTTATACGTCGTAATCAAGCATGAAAATTCTTTATCTTTTGTTTTACAAACTTTTCACTGATTAATGTCATGAAGCCTTGAACAGTTGAACTTTTAGATAGATTTAACGTTTAAACAAGTTAAGTGTCATATATTCTTTCTTTGAGTTGATACTTGGAAAATTATTTTTGCCACGGAGTTTAAAACATCTTAAGAATAGATTATGTAAGCAAAGATATGGTTTAATGATTTTTATTGTTTATGCTCGTAAAATTTAATATAATTTGGATCAAATTGATCAATAGAAATGAGAAGTACTAAATTGTACGGTTTTCAAGATAATTGGGAGTAAGTGGTGAAAACTTCAGCTCCATACTCAATAATTGGTCTTATACAGATAAGGAGGTATAAAAATTCACAATATCAGATTGACGAACTTTCGCTTGTTTAAATTGAATAAGAAAAAACATGCGTTTGTTACTCTAATGTTGGGAAAAGTAAATCTCACAGTTGGATAAGGCGACATTTCATCATATTCTGTTAAATCAAATGAAGGGAAGGGAATAGAGAATTCTTGTTGTAGTCTTGTAATAATTATAAAGATTTTTTAGCATCAAAATCAATGTTTGGTTGTATCTTTTAGGTATATTTAACTACAATCTGTTTCTGGTAATCTGAATTGATTCGTAAGGTGGCAAAAGTTAAGTTTATCAAATCACAAGTCAAAACGATTCCACACCCAGAATAATTAGTTTATAACTAGTTAATCGGTCTAATTTTAGCCAGAAGAGCCTCAAAAGTGGCAGAATTATATTAGAATTTCCACTGTACACCACCATGTGGTCCAATAGCTGTTTTTACAAATCAGAAATCAAAGATTTTCAGGTCTTTTTATTTAATGCTATGAATTTGCATGTATCACCTTAGCGTCAACAGCTCGACGAAAGATAATTGCAACTTTCCAAAACGACTAAATATTTAAAATATTTCATGATGGCATGCATGAGTCAATTTGCAATTTCAAACTAAATTTCCTTCCTGATTCATAAATGTCATTTCATACTATCACAAGTATAATGAAATAAAACATATTTTATAAATATACCGTCCGGACCCAAAGATAAATATAATTACATGCTAGCAAGCAATTTGAATTCCTTAGCAAGCAAGCACATCATGATAAACGCGACTTCCTTTAGATGACAGTGATTTTTTGATAAGTAAATTGTTTGTATTTGTAACTTTGTTTAATTGGTGTACAACTACAGGATCACAAGTTGCCATGGGGATCTATAATGTATATTTTATAGTACTAGGTTGAGACTAATATTTATTAAAATTCTATTAATTATATTTGACGAACAACTTTTATGTAAGATCTCATTTACACATCGTTAACACACACAATAATTCTTTGTCTTTTGTCTTACAAACCTTTTGCTGGTCGACGATTGAGGCTTTAAACATTCGATCTTTCAGATTTCTTAGCGTTCTGATAAGTTAAGCGTCAAATGGCTTCGTCCGTTGAGTTGATACGTGGCAAATTATTTTGTGCAACTGAATTTAAAACATTAAAAGTTAATTGTTATGTGAAAGCAAAGATACGCCCTTATGATTTTTATTGTTTTTCTTTATAAGTTTGAATTTAATTTGGATCAAATTCATCAATAGAAATGAGAAGTGTAAATTATATTACATTATATCACTTTTAAGGTACTTTGGGAGCGATTGGTTAAAAACTACAGCTCGATATGTCAGTTTTTATTTTTATACTAGTGGTCTCTTGCCTGTTGAATAACACAATATCATCGCACAATTATATGTCACGAACGTCTGAATTGTGCTTGTTGAAATCTTTAGTATAAATGGTATATTGATAAACATTTAAAAAAGCTACATTTCCAAAATAATAACGTTGGTAAAAGGCAAAAACTACTTTTTATAAACATAAATTAAATTACAATTAAACACATCATGATAAACACGTCTTATTTTAGATGAATGGCAGTGATTTTCTTGGTAAGCAGTTAATATGTTTGTATTTGTAACTTGGTTTGATTGGTGTACAACTACAGGATCACAAGTGCGAGTATCTATGATGTATATTGTGTAGTACTTGGTGTGACCAATATTTATTGAAAGTTTATCAATTAAATATAACGAGCAATTTTTATTTAAGATTTCATTTACAGATCGTTAACACACACGATAATTCTTTATGTTTAGTGTTACAAACCTTTTACTGGTTCATGGCTCAAAACTTTGAACCTTCGATCTTTCAAATCACTTAACGTTCTGAAAAGTTAAGCGTCAAATGGTTGCGTCCTTTGAGTTGATACGTGGCAAATTATTTTGTGCAACTTAATTCAAAACATTAAAAGTTTATTGTTATGTAAAGCCAAGATACGGCCTTATGATTTTTATTGTTATTATTAATATGTTTGAATATTTTTACCGTTTCCTTTGTATTTTGGGAGTTTGTTAAAAAAACCTTAGTTCCATAATAAGGAGTTGGTCTTATACATGAAAATGCACAATGTTAGATTGCGGAACTTTTTCCTCATTTGCTTGTTTAAGTTCAATAAGGGGGTGTTAACATGAATCCGGAATGACTTTCAATTCCAGTCGAAACGTGATGTCAATCCACGTTTACATGGGAAATCAACACAGGGATTGACATTTCGTAGGAATTATCAATTTTGAAGACAACAAACTTAAACATTATAACAACCCTTTTCTTTTCTTTCGTTTCTGAGTTAATACTTGCATGAAACATACAGCTTAATACTTGCATGAAACTAATTGTTGCTTTTTCTCTCACTCATTTTAGTCCATTTAGCTTACGAGCTTCAATTTCCCAGTAGACAATACACATGGTGCATGCGTGCTTTGTTATTAATCACAATATCATTCCAGAATGAAACTCAGTACGCGTTTACATGAGATTAAAACTAAATTTTGATCCGGCATGAAACTTCGATCCGGAATGAAAATAGGAATGAGCTCGATCCGGATCGAGTTGTGACTCATTCCGGATTCATGTAAACATGCAGTAGGATTTCTTTTAAAATGGAATGAGTTCATTCCGGATCGAAAGTCATTCCGGATTCATGTAAACACCCCCTAAGACAAAATAGGCGTTCGTTGACTTAAATGTTGAGAAAAGTAAATCTCACGCTTTGATAAGATAACATTACATTATATTCTGATAAATTAAATGAAGGAAAGTTGATATAGAATTCTTATTGTAGAAACTATAAAGATTTGTTAAGATCATGTCCGATGTTTGGTTGTATCATTTAGGTATATTTCAAGCTGTTTCTGGTAGTCAGAATTGATCCGTAAGATGGCAAAAGTTAAGTCTATTAAAAGCACAATTCAAACGACTTCACACCAAGAATATAAAAATGTCCATTGCTGTAATTGAATTAACTAATTAGTTTATAAATAGTTGCTTGGCATAATTTTAACCCAAAAAGCCTCAAACGTTGTCGAACTAAATTAGTCAAGAACTGTAAACTGAATAAATTTGTTTTATCTATAGACATATACACCACCTCCATGTGCTCCAAAAGCTTTGTTTTTATAAACAATGTTATACTCAGATATCTTAAGATTACAAGTATCATGTAAGCTATGTTTCTACGATGAACACTACATCGGGTTTCTTGCTTGGCAGCGAAATCGGGAATTATTTTGAGCTTTACTTTTTAAATGTGAAGCTAATTATATATGCAAAATTCACTTCCGGTTAATCACTAGAGATACAAATTACTCTAGAAATGCTTGGCGGATAACGTTTACAAACAAGAATTTTCAAATATAAAAGGCATTTCGCGACGTTTTGCTTATCTCAAATATCTTTCTTGGATAAATAAAGTTATTTAAATCAATGTGACATCAAAATTATTTCGATACCTGTAAAATATCGGCGTTCGTGTTCATTTGAAAATCGCTCGTACAAGAATCGAATTTGCCTAATAGTTGTCAAGACAAGATAATTCACAGCTCGCTTTCCAAGTTTAGAGGCAGTTATGATCTAGAATATGTTTCAATACGTAAAAATTGTGGTAATTACCTTTATTTTATCATTCTTTATAATCTAGAGATTGTCGTATGTTACTTTTGCCGTGACTTTATGAGTCCGGGTATATTGGTGTAGGAACAAACAAATTTCCTAAGGTTGGTTTATTCTTAATTTAATTTCTATTTTTATTTTATAAAGATAATATTATCACTACACCTTGCTACAGCATTTGGATATGGTATTCATCAGTACGTATGGTTGTTATTGTCATAACATGCAGGGGCGGATCTAGGGTATGTCAAATCAGTCACGCGACTGATGTTTATAGTTCAAAATTACTTATCAAATTTAATGATTACAATTTTTGTGATCATTGAATTGATGTATAATCGTATGAATTTCATTGTCAAAATTCTGTTTTATATCTGAAATCTTACGTAAATATCACGTTTTAGCATATCTGGAATTATATTAACTGACTGACTGATAAGCGGTGATGATTAATATTTTTAACATGAGGTTATGTGATTATGTGATTTACAAAATGTTTTGATTAAGAATCACGTAGCCTTAAACCTTAAAATAGTTGTAGTTTCTATGGCAAATCACAGCAGTTTTTAAACAGTGATATAATTTTACAAAGAGGTAATTGAATGTTTATTCATAACAATGCATGGTTGCTTTATAATACTAGTAAGTATCGTTTTCCAATTATTGCATTCAAGACAATATGTAGTTTACAACCCACTTTTTTATCTCTTAGATTGGTTTATTAACTTAGCCTATTTCTTTAGTAAGTTTGGAATGTCAGTTAAATTATTTTTATTTAGTTTCTTAGAACATTTTCCATTTGCTGTTGTTAGCAAGTAAACTATAATGTTATACTTAAAATTTTGGGGTTATTTATAAATTAGGTATGATACATGCATGTAAAGAAGAGAATCAGTTACAAATGGTTAAGGAGACATATAAGTTACCATGACCTGTGAATGAGAATTATCATTTTTTTATTAAAATATTTTGCTAAATGATGTTATCACTAGCACTTAGGGGGAATGGGTTGTAACATTAGGATATGTTTAAATCAATCAAAAATAAATAGAGTGACAGTTACATTTTATTATTTATTTTTGTTCATATCATAATTAAATGTGACCAGGCGCAATACAGAAAAAAATTGGATTGCTGCTAATAAAGGATTAAGATGCAGTGATGCAATGCCTAATGATGATGGCTGTAGTAATATGTTTAATAATGTTTTTTGTAATGACCGTGAACATTCATAATCTTTACAAAAATCAACTCAAACCATTGCCAGTCCTAAACAAAGTTCTTTCTCTTTGAAAGTTGGTCTTAATGATTGTGATATTGGGAAAATGACCGTGCTGTTTCTGGTGAAGTTGATATTTTAGATGTTTCTTTTAGTCATGGAAAAGCTGATTCTTTGTGCATGTGAATGTAGACATTGGGAGATGCATTTTTTTGTTTCTTCTGATTTTGAACATGATAGTTTAAAAGTTTCTTTTCAAGATGGGTTAGTTGATTGGGTGAATGAGTACTCAATTAAGCAAAATGCTGTTGATGGCTTGCTTGCTCTTCTTAAGGATTATGGTCATCCAAATTTGTCTAGTTGTGTTCGCACTTTGTTGCATACATTAAGTTGTATTCCCATTCAGAAAAAATCTGGCATGGATTACGTGTACTTTTCTTTTGGTGAACAATTGTTACAGCACTTTCACAAGCATCCTTGTGAAACAGGATGCTCCTGAGAACCTTAAGAACATTAATCATTTTGAAATCTCTGATGAGTTTCCTTTGTTTAAAAGTTCTGCAAAAAATGTATGGCCAGTGTTGTGTGCCATTTTCAATGTCATACCTGTTGTAGTGTTTCCTATTGTCCTAACATGTGGTGACTCCAAGCCAAAAAACTTGGAGTTTTAGGATGAGTTTATGGAAGATTTGAAGGGTATTCTAGAGAGGGAGTCCAAGATGGGGAAAAGGTTCTGACTGTTACAGTAAGGGGCATTGTTTGTGATGCTCCTGCAAGAGCACTTGTTAAAGGTACAAAACTTTGTACTGGTTATTTTGGTTGTGACAAGTGTACACAAAAAGGGAAGTGGCTTGGTCGAGTGACTTACTCTCAAAATAATAATATAGAATTGCACTCTAATATTTCTTTTAGGAAGCAGATACTAGAAGAACATCATCGCTTTGTTAGCCCTTTCTGTCACTTGCCTGTTCACATGGTAAAACAATGACTACATGCATCAACTGTGTCTGGGTGTTATTCGTAAATTGATTATGGTTCGGATGAAGGGAAATCGCGCTGCTAAAATGTCTGTTGCCAACGTAGAGGCTGTTAGTAAAAAATTGGTGGAGCTTAAACCATTTATCCCCTCTACATTTGTGCGAAAACCTAGGAGTTTAATGGAGGTTGACAGATGGAAAGCTACAGAATTCAGACAGTTTCTTTTGTATACAGGCAAAATTTCTTTCAGCCGTCAATGAAATCTTATCAACAATTTCTAGAAGTAAGTACTGTAGTTGCAATGCAATATTCCATTGCTTTATTCGAAGGAGTGCAGTTTTTCACATATTGCTACGTTGCATTTAAATCTAATGAGTGATTTTGCTTTTTAGATTTGCCAGTATACAGCGAGCTGATCTCCCTTGCAGAAAAAGGTATAAGCGCAATTATAATCCTGGTACAAGTGGACAATTTTTTACAGAAACATGCATGTATAAAATTTCTCTTTTCATGTTGATCTAGATTTATATGACGGTGAACTAGCACAAGAAATCCTAAACACAAAGGATCATGCAATAACTTCCACATCTACTAGTAGGACACCATCTCAGTGTAGTAGTAAGTTTTCTGTCATCAGAACTGACTTATCAGCAACTTTCTTATAATATGTGGACTAAAATGTTGAAATAATTTGATTGCTTCTTTTTAAATAACTTTAACATTCGTATTGTACATTTACTGTTTTTCTACGTCCATCTTTGCATTATAGGGCTTATGTATGTTCTACAGGTGCTGTAGGCGTTGGTCCTTTAAAATGTTGTAATTAGTTGAAAAAATGTTAGTTATAGTTAAAATTGCTGTTGTGTTCACCACGATTTAATCAAAATACATTCGTTCAAATCTAATTCTCGGCGTTTGCTATCAAACTACTAAATGAAACTTTCTCGAGGCTTTTTATTTTAGTCACCTTTCTGTTTCTGACTTTTGAAACTTATAGTGCCTTAATTTAAATGACGTTCGTGCGTGCAATAAAGATATATATTAAACTCAGTACGTGTCTTTTCTGTAGATAAAGGGCAACGTCTCTTCACAAGGAATTCCTACAACTGGCACAACAAGAGAAAGACATTCTCTACGAAACAGTGGTGTCTTAGGCAAGCTTTTCTTACAATTCATTATTGCATGTCTTGTTGTTACGTTTTCATTTACGTTTATTTCGTGTAGTTTGAAATGGTTTTTTTTCTTCACAACTAACTGCAACACGTGATTACTTTGCAGATGCGCATGACCTTTCATCGCACGAAACGCCTTCGACAAGTTTTACGAACATAACACCTGCAGGAAGACGTTCTCAACCAAACATTAATGGTACCTTTTGAACAGTATATAGTTTTTGAATAGCGTATTTATTATGTTTGTGTATTCAATTAGCAATTTGATGCGAGTTTTATTTGAATTTTCTTGTTAGCATGTTGTAAGGTTTTATATTTGTAAGATATTACGTAGGTTATACATAAGTTATTCTGTTATTTTCTTATCTATTTTGTAGGCTTCCAAAGATCACTTCTCACCAAACTGGAAACATTAATTGATAAGCAAGAAGAAGCGTCGTCAATATTGCGTGTTCTGTTAAGGGCTAAGAAAGGTGTAGACGAGGACGAAATTTTGGAAGATGTAGTACCTAATCCTTTAGATTCGGTTGAAGAACTTGAGGACCTATCCTCTAGTCTTGATGAAGAAAAGTCCAGAAGAAAGTTTGTAAGTTTTGGAAAGTTAACTACCCATACGTATTTAGTAATATTTATTGGCACGGCCTATTTTTTATGCATGACTCGTTCAAGTGTTACGTAAAAAAATGTGACAAAGGAAGGCATAGCTCTTCCCCTTATCGGTTTGGAAACGTGAAAACGATAGTTTCATTTGCAATTTCGTAACGTAATATTGACTATTTTTCTGCCATTTGTGTTTGAAAACATGCACGTTTGTCAAAGTCTGAAACGTAATTTTAATGACGATTTTCGTTACGTTAGGGGGTCAGATTATCTGATTAAACTATATGAATCTAGCATCGTGTTTTTCGTGAGAGCATTGTCGTGTTCTGATTAATTTAAATACATTACGATACTTCAAACGGCTCTTAGGAGTGTGTCGTTTTATTTGTGCCGTTTTAAACGTATATTTAAAATAATTATGTTCTCAGTTATAATTTTTTTAGCTAATATATGTGGTCCAGTATGAAAACGAATTTTTTTAAAATTCATTTAGTTGAAAGAAGTCTTAAAAGTAAAGATGATTTTTATGACGTGTAGTTATATATGTGTTAAATAGGATAGCAATATTTTATGACATAATAGTTCACTGTACATACGAATGCTTCGGTTAAATTTAAATAAATTTTGCTTTCTGAAAATGTTTATATTTGTTTATTGACACTTCTCTTCGATTTTGGGAGTAAATGGGATTACGATGTACGTTCGTTTCCCTCCAGTGAAAGGTGGTCCTTTAGTGGATAATAAATTTCAGCAGGTGGTTTGTGTACCGTTGCATGAGTTATAAATCTTACATACTTACTAAGTTCATGCATATAGAATATCTCTTACAATTCAGTCCGATGTTATACTTAGATTTCTGTGCGACTACGTATGACATTTAAAAAAGAATGACTTGTGTTATGTAAACGAGTAAAAAATAATTCATAGTCTTGTGAATATTGATGAAGACTTGTTACCATTGCCAACCAATCCTATATTTATGATTATTATAGACATCAACAATTACATTGGAGACCATTACGTCATATTTGCATGGTTTTACTTTTGCTGCACACTTGCAGCAAAAGTGAAACACGATTGTGCAATCCAGGCAATCATATGTTACAACTTACTGTGAAACAAGAACCTTTCTAAAATCATACTTAAATAAAAAGAGGAGACTCTAGATTAAAAGGCAATAATGTCTGCCTTGGTCAATTCATGAAAAATCTCTTGCACTATTATGAATTACATAAATCGTGTTGTTTTTAATGTTAGTAACGTTATGTTTAAAGGGCTGGTGAAAGCTGTAGCTTGTTCTTTATTACTTAGTAGTTTACTACGTTCCTTTGTTATTATAGTATGTGATGTCTGCAAAGTTAAATAAGTTAACAAAAGCTAAATGATGCTATTCGTACAAAACTTTAAACTAAAACTGTCACACAATTATTACTGAGTGCTTTCATGTGACATTAATGTTCGGATACCTAGCAAATGATCTGGGGGTCTGAGATAATAAAATATACAAATCTTGCGCATGCAACTTTCAACAACTCTACAACCTTTATCATCTACTAAAAGTAGATAGATGTAAATGACATCGTATGATGTGTTCACGGTAGTTTGAGAAGTTTTGTGTAGATGTTGATCAATTTGTTTGTAAGCTAACGTGGGAAACCATGCCATGAAGCAAACTTTTTGATAAATATCTCTATTGTTCTTCAAATTAGACAGCGCAATCATATGTTCTTTTATTAGAGAAAATTGTATGGAATTAACCTTACATTATGAAAAAATGTGCGCAAGGCTTCATAACCATACAAGTATGACGTAATGGTCTTCAATTGTTGATGTCTATAATAATCATTAATATGTCGTACAAGAAAAGAATATGACAAAGTTGGTAGAACTTAAATGTCAATGACAGGGCCAAGCCTCGATCCCACATCATAGATTGCGTTGTCTTGACTGTTACAGTTACCAAACGGCTACACAAGCGTTCATTGTAGTTAACGAAAAAAGTCGTAATGTTTTATAAAATAGTGATGTTGGAATTGCTGCCGTAAAAACTGATGATTTCAAAAATTCTTAATTTTCTGCATGTTTGGACCCAAATATTTCTTGAATTTCAAGAAATTTTCCATTAATACTACATCATTTGAATTGTTTTTTTCCATGCTCTATCTTTGGTGAGAATATGATGATTGGTCATATAAGCTTTAATGACTTCCGTCTTTGGATGGCCCTATATTATTTTAATAGATGGCCTAATTCAAATACGTTGGAGTTTCTGTATTGATGAAATTTTACGAATGAAAATGTTATAAAGCCGAAATTTACAATTACTTACAGTTTATATTTTGCCTCAGGAATAGACAAAGTTGAAACAGATGTCAAATAAGTGCTGAAACGCCGTGGCCACCCGTAAACCTTAGGCATTAAGTTATTCTTTCAATTGACCATCCACTATATGTTCGTGAAGTTGTCGAGAAAGTTATACACCAGTATTCTAGAAACTCACAAAAACTCTAACCCTCAATGTGTGTAACACAACAGTCTTGATCTTACTAATCAATGCAAACTCTTTTACCCATCAATCTATTAAAGAAGATTTTTGGTGAAATATTTCAAATCAAGCAATCAGTGGAGTCAATACAAGGTCTTCCAGCAGTTATAAGACTATTTTTAAACTTTATTCAATGAATGTGAGTGTGAGAGTGTTTTTAGAAAACAGTTGATACAGAGAGAGGTAGTTCACCTTATCTGTATATTCAATATTCATTGTATATTCATTATTCATTGTATAATCATTATTCAATTAAATGAATATTTGTATATTCATTTAATAAATCAAATTAAAACTAATTAAAATATCAAAGAATCCATTAGAAGAAACCTGTTGATCTCATGAAAAATGTTATTTAATTCAACTGTTTTGTATTGATTAGCTACGTAATTAATGTGAAATACTAAAACAAAAAAGCACTCCTAATTTCTCTCTATGGAGTTGCTCAACAGACGATGCTTAGGTTTACCGCATAAGCAACCCCCAAGAGCCCACAACATTCAAGACCAGACTTTCAGGCTGCGTGCTATTCCGGATTCACTCTTTATTTGCTGTAAAGGCTTCAGTTGCTTTTTCAATTCCTTTGTTCAGTCTCTTCAGACAATGTTTATTAAATTCAGAGCTTAAGTCTATTTAAATGTGCTTTTGGCATTGGCCATTATCACTGCCTTTTAATACTTTAATAACGGGACCTTGGTAAGATTGAAACTCCAGAAATACCATTTTCTATCGTATAAGAGTTTTATAATGTATTGAAAATATGACTTTACATATCATACGTCTTCAAAAAAAGCAATTGAGAATAAAATTTAAATAATCAGATATTATATCATTCAATAATGTAAGCTAGATGCAGAAATGTGATTATGTATCATCAAAATACGTCGTGAAAAGTGTTTTGCTACTTTACATCTATAAAATAAAACCTTTAACTACCGTATCGTTGATTTGTTATTTGTTTTCCTGTCAGTAAACTTTTCATTGTTGTTCGCTTTCATTAAAAACTGAAAAAGTTCTTAAGTTCTGGGTTGTTTTTCAATTCGTCATTACATCAGACAGCAACACGTACCCGAACTGAGATTTCAAAAAGAACTCCTTAGGATCATCGACTTCATAAAATGGATGGTTTTAGTGCTGGTCGCAATCAATCGATCTGTCAATGAAAGCCAACAATCAAAATAATCATATACGTAAAAAATTTATTTGTCTTTTTCAATCTTAGTAAATTCTATTTTACACTGTATCTTTTATGTTCACTTGCCTTTTCACAAACTGTTTTTACTGTTTAAAAACTGTTTATTTTTAATGTGGTTTCTTTCACTGAAATTGAAAAAGTTCTTGAGATCTGGATTGTTTTTCAATTCTTCATTGGACCTCACAGTAGCATGCACTCGAACAGGGAGATTAGGGAATTTTTTGAGAATATACGCCTTGTGATTACCAATCTTATAAAATGGTTCTGGTTGAGGTCTTGGCCGTGGTCGATCGTGCCAATGTTGGTTAATATTTCGAATAAGTCTTAAACATTCTGTCCATGAAGAGTCATATGTAAAAGTCTTTGCAGTCACCACGTCCGTTCTACAATAATCATAAACATCACTGTCTATTTTACTTTTCCAGTCTGAGGGCTCACTATTCAATTGTTGAACAACAATTGATTGGGGATCATTTGTCTTAATCTGCTGAAGATTTCCAACTTTACATAATAAGTCAAATTTCTCGTCATCCGACATAAGAAATGGATGTGTTAACGCCTCATTGGCTGATGGCCTGTCTTCGGGTTCTCGGTTTAACATCCACAACAAAAGGTCTTTCAGTGTTTCATCCTTGATTTCGTCCAAGCCAACAGGGTTTCCATTTAACATATTGTCCAACCTATGCCGTTTAGTTCCAAACGGGTGTTTTCCTTTTGTTGCAATATAATAAGTTACCATTCCTGCATTCTAAAAAAATTAACAATGTAATGTTACAAATTGACTTTATACATGCATGTCGTGCAAATGGTTATATTCCTGCACCTACCATTACATCAGACTCTTTCTTGTACCGTCCTTTATCGACTGTATCTTTTTCTTCACAATATGATTCAGGAGCAATCCAATACTCAGTTCCCATGTTAGGCTTGCTTTCATGTGTCGTAGAATCGTTATCCAATATTCGACTAATGCCAAAGTCAGCTATCAGAAAGTTGTCTTGTGAATCTCGAAGAACATTGGTGGGCTTTAAATCACGATGAAGAATAGGATTTGGGCCGCTATGAAGATCAACTAAACCTTGTAAAATTTGTCTGAGAATTTCGGGAACAGCTTTTTGAAGATCATGTAAAGTAGAAGACTTGACAAAACTCTCCAATGATTCTTCACATAAGTCTAATATCAAATATACATATTCTGTTCCAGTCTCTTCCTCTAGGAAAGAATAATTCACAACATATTTCGACTTTCTTGCGTTGAATTCATTCAAAATTTTCTTTTCGTGCAGCGCAAGCTGGATGTAGCTATCTCGACGTATTTGTTTCACTGCTTTACCGTAACCATCCTTACCCAGTCCAAGATAAACACGTGTTCCATCACTTCCCTTGCCAATGCAAAACTCTTCTGAGAAAATTACTCGTACATTGCCCACCACTTTAACCTCAACACTGGAATTGCGTCCATAATGAATCAATTTTAAAAACAATTCTCTATGTTTCGTTGACTCATCAATGTATTTCCACTCTTGCAACACAAATTCTAAAAAAATTAGATAAAATATTACATTCAAGGGTGAAGGAAACGAAATTAATACGTCAAAATAATTTAAACTTTCCCAATCAGGAAAGGATATTATTAGCTACCGCACATTTTTGAAAAAACTTATTGTACAATCAAATCTGACAACATCTGAGGTTAGCTTATACAATACATTTAATTACAAAAAATTCTTTCTACAGTAAATTCATATGTTTTTTTAAAGAAATAACCTTACGTTTTTGGAAAATATTAAATTTGAATTTATAGAGCATATTTTTTAGAGTCTAAAAATTTTTTTACAGCAGAAGATAACAAAATAGCTTCATTTAATTTTTCTTTCCATTCTCGACACTCATCTGTTTGATAGACTATCTTATGTTTGATGCCAAATATGAACATTGAAGTTCGATCAGCAGCGAAAACTCAACAATTATTCTCTCAAACCTTGTTTGAACACCATTAAAGTGCCAATGAAACGAAAACTTTGCAAGTTAAATTATATTTACATTGACCAAAACTTTTGAAATGAAAGCTTTCTAAAACCTTTTATGTATGATACTTTCATTCTAAAAATACTGAAGTGAAGTCCTTGCTATTACCAATTTATCTAACTTGTGACATCATATTGCATGCAAATGAGTCGCTGCCATGTTTTAAATACACTTCATTTTCCTGACAACTTTACGTTGATAATAGTAGGCAGTATTTTATATCATTAACACATCACAAAGAAAGAAACTCTGCAAAGTTGAAGTAAAGTATTAGCAAATGTACCGAATAATTCTAGTTCTTATTATGCAATGTGACGTCACAAGTTAGATGAATCGAACATAATAAAAGCTTCAATATCTTGAGAATGAAAAGAGATACATATAAACTAGTAGAGAAACTCCGTTGTTGTATTAAAATTTCTGTTCAATAAAAGTATAACACAGGCTGCAAAACTTTCGTTTTATAGGCATTTTAAGCTTTGACTGTAAATTATCTGACACGTACTGTTTCTCTTATTCACCTTGGTAGAGTGAACCTCGTTATCTTTATGTCTGCAAACTCATGCACTACCTCTTGTTATTCCTATTCTCGTGCATTATTGCTGGTATTGTTTTACCTTTGCCAAATGGAAGATGGTTTTTGTAGTTTTCAATTATTTTAGTAAGCTTATGATCATTTATTTGCAAGAAACAATTTGTCTGTCATGTGTCTATTGTGTCAGGGTTTTCGCTATCGAGAAAATTTCCTTTTTGATGAAATTTTTACTCAGGTAGAAAAGGAATCATGCAATGCAATAAAATTTTAACACCACAATAAAAGTAAGCGATTTAAATTCTTATCATATTTTTCAGTCCTTTTGATAAAATACTTGTCAGTTTGAGAAAAGTGTGAAAGAAATCATGATGTTTTAGTGTTAAAGTATAATATAATTGACAAGATAAGCAACACGAACGATGCAAGCAAATGATCAAACTTCCGCCTTCAAATATTTTAATATCTTTCTGTATTTTATGTGTAATGCAGAACATTTCAGTTGTCTTTGGCTACCACAATCATATTTTACTAATTTGAAAAATATTCTCGTATAATTCAACACTCCTTTGCAGATATCTTCTAAATATAGTTAAATGAAAGCAATTGAGCAAATCATTTCCATGCTTTCACAAAAAATTTTATAATCAATTTTATATCTATCCATCTGCCTGTCTATTTAGTGGTCTATTTTTTTAGCTATATTTGTATTATGTTAAATGTTGACTACGTTGCCTTTCACAAGAAATCAGTCGATCAAATTTGAAGATATGAATACCCCCCTCTCCCACCCATTAACATTCTAGTTAAGGTCCTCTATACAGCAAACATGATACAGCCATTAAGTTCTGTAAGCGATATTTTAGCAGCAGCGTTATTAAACACCCCTCCCCCACAGCACTAAAAGTTATAGTTTCGGCCCTCAATACAGTGGTCAGTGCTACAATAACTGAGAAAACATGATACAGCCATTGAGTTTTGTAATCGATATTTTAAAAGCAGCGTTATTCTTGCTCAATCTGGTGGCCTAAGTCCTAAGTAGCTTGGTCTGTTTCACGTGCACTTTTTATAAAGGTCATTAAACCAGTTGACTATCATCATTTAAGATACAGTTTGGATTATAAATGAGATTTTTCGACTCACTTGCTGTTCTAATGATTAAATTTATTTATTTTGAGATCAATAGACGTAATTTATTGAAATCAATAAATAAAGTCGTTTTTTATGTTTAACGTTAGTTGCTAACGTCTATTTTGGGAAGTTTTCTAGTAGAAAAAACTTATACAGCAACTTTAATGCTCTATGCAACTTTTAAAATGCAATTGTAAGTAAAAAGTATTTAAAATTCAATGCTCTACTAGAAAATGATCTTGTTTGACTTTTGAACGATACAGTACACAGTACACAGTGTATTTAAATTATTTGTCGTTTGCAAAAGGAAAATTTAAGACATTGACACAGTATTGAACTTTTGGAGTCCGAAAGTGCAACACTGTATACGTACATCATGCATATTATTAAATAATATAAATCTTCATAAAAACACATAAATACCAATGAAATGACTTGAATTGTGATACAATATAAAACATATATGCTTAGGTTATGCAATATGTATAAAATAAAATAGAATTGAAAGGCATACCTTGTTTTGCATTTTCAACACCAGGAGAAATTTCGACATCTTTAGCATTACCATCATCACCACTTGTGATTTCTACGAACAATATTTAAAAAAGCGTTAACCACACAAGCTGTGTATTTTTATTTTGACAACAAGTATAAAAATGAATTTACATCTAGTGCTCGAAAAGAAACAACACAAATAAATTGGAAAGTTTGGATAGTAGCTTTTTAAAACTATATATTTCATTTCGTTTTGCCCATTAGCTCCAAAATCTCGTATACATATATTAAGCACTGTTTTACATGACTGACATTTTCAAGTAATACAATGACCTAACAAATGGAAATATTGAAAGGGCAGTATATATTTTCACGTAATGAACCAGCTTTCTCAGGCGTAATTTTAAAAATAAATGTAGATAAACAAACTTCATGAATTACGACTGCCAATGTGTATTTTGGTAAAACACAAGACAATAGACACTGTATATAGTAAACATTATTTATCTAAATTAAATATGGTTTACTAAATACGGAGTGTCTATTGTCTTGTGTTTTACCAAAACTTCGTGAATCAAACAGCAAATGCTTTGTAAAACGAAAAAGAAACAAAACAAAAAACCATGGTATGAATGTAAGTCAAAAAAGAACACTCGAAAAGTGGGTTTAATTGTCTAGGCGACACAATTTCAAGCTATCTATTTTCTGCTGACAAAAACTTGAGGAGTGAAAGTCAGTCCTTGAAAAACAGCAAAAATGGAAAAAGAAAAGAAAGCTTCGTCTCTGGTCAGATAATACCATATAACTAATTGACTTTTTATTCACCTCGCCTGTTTGGTCTTTATTGAGAAATCTCGGACCTCTGTTTTTATCACAAACCTCTCCCTAAGGGGCTCGGTCAGTACAAATAACTTCAGTCCGATATTTCTACGTAAAGACCTCACACTCGGTTATTAAGGGCGTTGTAATGAATTCAGACATTGATAAGTGTTAACAAACTGTTGTCGCCAATCTCTGTCGAGTATCTTAGTAATGTTTGTAAATGATGATCGTCCAGGTTAATAAAGTCCTGAGAAGGACTGTTTTTGTTGTTGTTGACTAATCAACAACAACTAGTCAACAACAACAAAAACAGTCCTTCTCAGGACTTGATTAACCTGGACGATCATCATTTACAAACATATAACGATACTCCCGGGTTCAAACCATTTACTTTATCTTAGTAATTTTAAGAAAAAGTTGCTAAAGTCCGAATTGCTGTAGACTGTCTGTTTTGAGGACAAGGAAACTATTACAATTTTATGCAACTTCATGCAACCTGTCAAAGAACGAAAATTGTAAGCAGACACAGACATTAACACATTTTTTAGCGTTGTTGTTTAATTACTGATGGAGTTAAAAGAAAAGTCTGGAATTAGTTTAATCATACATTATCGCCATACACAGTATAATCATATTCAAAAGTTTCCTAAAGAATATGCAAGCACTCAAAAGCGTAGAAAATTGAGGAATTTTATTCCTAAACAGAGCAAATGAATGGTTGCTTAATTAATAGCTATTTCCAACTTAGAATTCATTTCTCGTTGACGATTTTTTCCTTTAATGTATATGAAATCTTTGCCGAATTACTCAATTTGTTGAGAAGGCTGCCTTGCCCTACGGAGTCGAGGCAATTAAGAGAGATCAGTCAAACATAGAAATTTTATCGCGATATGTGGCTTGTTTACCCCTATCTCGGCGCTATACTTTCATTAAACAATCAACTCGTCTTCGCAAGTTTTTGTCAGTTATGAAATGAAATTGAACTATATTCCTGGAAAATAGATGAGCGAGAAAAAGTGATCGATATAATATTTTTGAATTAGTAAACAAGAACTAAAAACTGCAACAAGAACTGCAAAGAATCTATAAACAAGAACTGCAATGGATCTAAGTATTGAAAAATCATCTGCAACATATTATTAAGTTAGGGAAACATCCTGCAAGAATAGCTATAATAATGTTTGGTACATTGTCAGTCACGCTATGTCAATGTAGTTTCAATAATTTATTAGTAGCAAAATAGCAGTTAAACATTTTATACAGACCACGATTTATAAAATGTAAACACATGTTTTGTTAAGCTTTTGCTATCTTTGTTGCTCAAATCATTCATTTATGCTTAATATAAAGCAACCTCATAAAACTAGATCTCAGCAAACAAATACATTATAGGTCTAAATTTAACTTGTAATAAAATTTCTACTTTCACTCCTGTAATTTATATCTGTGACATGTATAAATGACAAAATATTTTCTTGCTGTAAAAAGTAATACACTGAAAATGGCATAAGAATGCTGAAATATGTCTGTTTTAAAATCATCCTGATTTTTTTCCAAAGTTTGTCAATTTTTCAGTCTATGATTTTTGAATACGTAATTTTCACAGAGCTGGGTTTAGTGAAATAAAAACTTTTCTAAGATGTCAAAGACTCAATTTTTTTTTTAAATTTGATACGTATATATTAAAGTAAATGGTTTGAACACGGGAGTATCGTTACATGTTTGTAGATGTATATTGTCCAGGTTAGTATAGTGTGGTAGCCCATCGATATCATCATTATTTACCGTGTGTCAATTTTATTTTCAGTTGTATTTTCATTTCAATAACAAATTTCACATGAAACTTTACTTTACAATGTAAATTTAATATTAATTTCCTTTTATAAATACGTATTTCATTTATTTTGATTCTAAAAGCGTGAATGAAATTTAAAAAGCACTTTCCCACCCTTGGCCCAGTGCTATCACCACGGATTTTATAATAGTCAGGATATAGTTTCTATAGTTAGCAAAAAAGTTAAGCCGAATTATATATGCAAAAATTCATTTCCGGGTACCACAGGAGATACAAAGAAATGACAAACATGGTTTTCGAGTATTTAAGGCATTTCACGATCTTTTACTAAACTCAAATATCCGTAATGGATAGAACAAGTTTTATAAAACAATTTGACATGGAAATGCTCTCGATAGCTGTATAATATTGGCGTTCGTGCTCAATTAAAAATTTTCTGTTCAAGGATAGGCCGCATAGCTCCTAACTGCCTAAGGCTCGCTTTCTAAGTTCAGAGGCAGTTATATGATCTAGAATAAGTTTTAATGCTTGCAAAATAAGTACCTTTATTTCATCATTCTTGACACTCTATAGAGAGATTGTTTTACGTTACTTTTGCCGCGACTTTGTGAGTTAGGTACTATTGATGTAGGAATAAGACAAATTCACAAAGCTTTTTTCCTTACATTTTGTTAAATTATTTTGTAAAGATATTATAATCACCATGTCTTGCTAGAGCATTTGGATATGGCCTTTATCAATAAGTAAGTATGGTTGTTATTGACAAAAGTATCCAACATATGTATCAATTGCAATCTATGCCAAGCTTTAGTATGAGGAATTGTATTCCCTTGTAGTAAACTACCATTAGAAGTTATAAACACCTTTCTGTTTTATTGCATACTGATAAAACAGTAGCTGTTCGTTTGAAAGAAAATACTCCTGTCTTTTAAAGACGGGAAAGCAAATTCACTTTTGTATTTTTTGAACAAAGAAATTTTAATAAGTAATATGGGGCGTAGGCTGTTTGTTTTGTATCATCTGGCAATATAATGAGCCATGTAGAGAGTTGCAACGTCTTGCAGTACTACAAAATTAGTACTGCAGTATTAGTTGCACAGACTGCAATTGATACATACGTTGGATACTTTTGTCAACAACAACCAACTTCCTCATCTATAAAACCATATTTAAATGCTGCAGCAGGGCGTGGTGATTATATTATTATTATAAAATAAAAAACTTATTTTTCAAGCAATAAAACTTATTCTACATCATATAACTGCCTCTGAACTTGGAAAGCGAGCCTTAGGCAGTAAGGAGCTATGCGGCCTATTCTTGCACAGAAAATTTTCAAATGAGCACGAACGCCAATAATACACAGCTATCGAGAGCATTTCGATGTCAAATTGTTTTACAAAACTTGTTTCATTCATTACGGATATTTGAGATTAGTAAAAGGTCGTGAAATGCATTAAATATTCGAAAGATATGTCATTTGTTTTTATCTCCTGTGGTATCCGAAAATGAATTTTTGCATATATAATTCGGCTTCACTTTTTTGCTAACTATAAAAACTACATCCTGACTATTATAAGATCAGTGGTGGTAGCGCTGGGCCACGGGTGGGAAAGTGCTTTTTACATTTCATTTACGCTTTTAGAATGAAAATAAATAAAATACGTACATATATAATGAAATTATTATTAAATATACATTGTAAAGTAAAGTTTCATGTGAAATTTCTTTTTGAAATGAAACTATAACTGAAAATTAAATTGACACACGAAAAATAGTGATGATAGTGATGATAGTATGGTCCTAAGAAGGACTGTTTTTGTTGTTGTTGACTGACGTTTCGACAACCTTAGCGGTAGTCACCTTCAGAGTAAAAAAAAACAGTACCAAGATTGTTTAAAAACGCAGCGACATCAACATGTTTTGGACCCAACGATTGTTTCCGAATTTCCAGAGCCTTTTTGTTGAACTCTATAGCTTTGTCGTAGTTTCCAGTATTATAATACACATCACCAAGATTCTTTAAAGAATCAGCAACATCAACATGATTTGGACCTAACGATTGTTCTCGAATTTCTAGAGCTTTTTCGTGAACCTCTTTAGCTTTGTCGTAATTTCCAGTTTTATAAAACACCAACCCAAGATTGTTTAAAGAAACAGCAACATCAACATGATTTAGACCTAACGACTGTTTTCGAATTTCTAGAGCTTTTTCGTAAAATTTTACAGCTTTGTCGTACTTTCTAGTATTATAATACACATTACCAAGATTGATTAAAGAATCAGCATCATCAACATGATTTGGACCTAACGATTTTTTTTTAATTTCCAGAGCTTTTTCGTAAAACTCTATAGCATTGTCGTAGTTTCTAGTTTCATAAAACACCTTACCAAGATTGTTTAAAGACATAGCGACATCAACATGATTTGGACCTAACGATTGCTTTCGAATTTCTAGAGCTTTTTCGTGAACTTCTTTAGCCTTGTCGAAGTTTCCAGCTTCATGATACACCAAACCAAGATTGTTTAAAGACTGAGCAACATGAACATGATTTGGACCTAACGATTGTTCTTGAATTTCCAGAGCTTTTTCGTGAACCTCTTTAGCTTTGTCGTACTTTCCAGTATCATAATACACCAAACCAAGATTGTGTAATAACGCAGCGACATCAACATGATTTGGACCTAACGATTGTTTTCGAATTTCCAGAGCCTTTTTATTGAACTCTATAGCTTTGTCGTAGTTTCCAGTATTATAATACACATTACCAAGATTGATTAAAGAATCAACAACATCAACATGATTTGGACCTAACGATTGCTTTCGAATTGCTAGAGCTTTTTCGTGAACCTCTTTAGCCTTGTCGAAGTTTCCAGCTTCATAATACACCAAACCAAGATTGTTTAAAGACTGAGCAACATAAACATGATTTGGACCTAACGATTGTTCTCGAATTTCCAGAGCTTTTTCGTGAACCTCTTTAGCTTTGTCGATGTTTCGATTTTCATAATACGCCAAACCAAGATTGTTTAAAGACTGAGCAACATAAACATGATTTGGACCTAACGATTGTTCTCGAATTTCCAGAGCTTTTTCGTAAAACTCTATAGCTTTGTCGTAGTTTCCAGTTTTTTTAAGTACAGTACCAAGATTGTTTAAAGACGCAGCGACATTAATATGATTTTGACCTAACGATTGTTTTTTTATTTCCAGAGCTTTTTTGTGAAACTCTATGGCTTTGTCGAAGTTTCCAGTATCATAATAGACAATGCCAAGATTGTTTAAAGTTGTAGCAATAAGAACATGATTTGGACATAACGATCGTTTTCGAATTTCCAGAGCTTTTTCGTAAAACTCTATAGATTTGTCGTAGTTTCTAGTTTCATAATACACCAAACCAAGATTATTTAAAGACTGACCAACATCAACATGATTTGGACCTAACGATTGTTCTCGAATTTCCAGAGCTTTTTCGTAAACTTCTTTAGCTTTGTCGTAGTTTCCAGTTTTTTCAAGCACATTACCAAGATTGTGTAAAGACGCAGTGACATCAATATGATTTTGACCTAACGATTCTTTTATTATTTCCAGAGCCTTTTTGTGAAACTCTATGGCCTTGTCGTACTTTCCAGTATCATTATACACAATGCCAAGACTGTTTAAAGAGTCAGCAACATCAGCATGATTCGGGCCTAACGATCGTTTTCGAATTTCTAGAGCTTTTTCGTAAAACTCTATAGCTTTGTCGTACTTTCCAGTATCATAATACACAATACCAAGATTGTATAACGACGCAGAGACATCAACATGATTAAAGCAGAACGATCGTTTTCGAATTTCCAGAGCTTTTTCGTAAAACTCTATGGATTTGTCGTAGTTTCCAGTTTCATAATACACCAAACCTAGATTGTTTAAAGACTGAGCAACATCAACATGATTTGGACCTAACGATTGTTCTCGAATTTCTAGAGCTTTGTCGTGAACCTCTTTAGCTTTGTCGTAGTTTCTAGTATCATAATACACCAAACCAACATTGTTTAAAGACTGAGCAACATCAACATGATTTGGACCTAACGATCGTTTTCGAATTTCTAGAGCTTTGTCGTAAAATTCTATAGCTTTGTCGTACTTTCCAGTATCATAATACACCAAACCAATATTGTTTAAAGTCTGAGCAACATCAACATGATTTGAACCTAACGATTGTTTTCGAATTTCCAGAGCTTTTTTGTGAACCTCTATGGCCTTGTCGTACTTTCCAGTAACATAATACACAGCACCAAGATTGTTTAAAGAGTCAGCAACATCAATATGATTTGGACCTAACGATTGTTTTATTATTTCCAGAGCCTTTTTGTAAAATTCCATGGCCTTGTCGTACTTTCCAGTATCATAATAAACAATGCCAAGATTGTTTAAAGACTGAGCAACATCAACATGGTTTGGACATAACGATTGTTCTCGAATTTCCAGAGCTTTTTCGTGAACCTTTTTAGCTTTGTCGTAGTTTCCAGTTTTTTGAAGCGCAGTACCAAGATTGTTTGGAGACGCAGCGACATCAACATGATTTGGACCTAACAATCGTTTTCGAATTTCTAGAGCTTTTTCGTAAAAATTTATAGCTTTGTCGTACTTTCCAGTATCATAATACACAATACCAAGATTGTATAAAGACGCAGAGACATCAACATGATTAAAGCCGAACGATCGTTTTCGAATTTCCAGAGCTTTTTCGTGAACCTCTTTAGCTTTGTCGTAGTTTCCAGTAGCATAATACACCAAACCAATATTGTTTAAAGACTGAGCAACATCAACATGATTTGGACCTAACAATCGTTTTTGAATTTCCAGAGCTTTTTCGTGAACCTTTTTAGCTTTGTCGTAGTTTCCAGTTTTTTGAAGCACAGTACCAAGATTGTATAGAGACGCAGCGACATCAACATGATTTGGACCTAACGATTGTTTTTGAATTTCCAGAGCTTTTTCGTAAAACTCTATAGCTTTGTCATAGTTTCCAGTTTCCCAATACACCAAACCAAGATTATTTAAAGACGCAGCGACTTCAACACGATTTGGACCGAAGGATTGTTTTCGAATTTCCAGAGCTTTTTCATGAAACTCTTTAGCTTTGCTATATTTTCCAGTGTCATGGTATAAAAGACCGAGGATACTAAAATACCATGCTTTGTCATAACTACGTTCTTCTGATTTAAATTTTTTCATTAGTTCAAGAGCAAGATCGTATTTTCCAAAATGTCTTAATCTGTCAATAAAATATTGGAAAACTTGTAAATTATTCATGTTGATTTTTCTCTTGTTGCTCCTTATTAATTGAAGAATTTTTTCAAGATGTGGCATCAATTTGCTTTCGTCGTCTCTCTCTTTAAACAAGTAAAGTGCTTGAAATATTTGGTTAACATTTGATTGAAGAGAAGGCAAATTGCAAATTTGTTCTATTTTGCATTCTTTATTTAAGTGTTCAGATTGATAAACGATAATTGCTTCATGGACAATGCGATGTATACTAATGTCATTATTTTCTGAATGCAAGAACAATGAGCAGTCCTTTAAACAAAGACATATATCTTCTTTTGAGTGTTTGGGATCAATTTTTTGCACATAACAAATAACAATTTCTCGTGGTATAGGATCAAACGATATCATAGAAAAAAAGTTAATAACATTTGCCAATAATGAGGATTCTTCAGCATTTTGTCTGACAGCTAAAAGTGAAGCTTGTAACATACTTCTAGGAAATACCGAGTTAAATTTAAGAAAAGTGGCGTCCATGATTTCTTGTTCTTCTGAAAATATTTCCTCCAAATATTGACTCCAAGTAAATGTAGAGTTTGCTTTTTTTACACGACTGACATAACAACCAGCAGCAGCCAAAGCCAGCGGTTGACGATCTAATGCGTGCGATACTTCATTCAACAATTGATCATCAGCATATTCATTTTCAGTGTAATGCTTCAACAGTTGAAAACATTCCCTATCATTTATTCCACTTCTGATAGAAATATGTTTGTTAAACTTATCATCTTGAGGTACGGCATCTGTGTTCTGGATAGTTACTATGATTTGTCCATTTATCCACATTGGATCACCTACTTGGGGAAGTAATGAAGAAATTTTGCAGAGCTGTACCACGTTGTCTACAATGATCAACCAATTTTGCCAGAATTTTAATCGTGTGGATACTAACGATTGCAAATTCTTCACTTTGTCAATGATAAAACAGTTTTCAACTTCAAATTTTTTAATCATATACTTGTCACAGTTTAAACGGTATTCAAGTTCACAGTAAGTTTTTAAAAGAGATTCCTCATTTTTCCCATCGAGAGTCATTACAAACGAAGTTCTATTTTTCCAATCAAACGATACTTTTTCACAAACCTGTCTTGCAAGTTGTGATTTACCACTGCCAGGATTACCAGTGATGTAAAAATATGTCAGTTTATCAATGTTGTCATTTCTTAATTGTTCAAGATCTTTTATAATTTTATCTCGTAATTCAGTGCGTTCAACGAAAAAATGATTAGGTTTTGAAGGAAGAACTTGGAATGAATTGAAACAGTTTCGATGATTTTTTATTTCAATGATTTCATCGAGAGAAAATTTCAAATCTTGAAATGATTTTTCAATTACATTGACTATATCATCAAAATCATCATCTGAGCATTCCCTTTCATACCAATGTGCGTACTTGTTTCTTTCACAGCGAAGTGCATGAACAGCATCCTTTGTTTTTTTGTCAAGATTCTTTCCAATTGAATTTGAAAAAATTATTGCATCAAATAATATCGTACCGTCCCACTTACTGGTGTCTCCATCCTGATATTTTTGTCGTGTTTTTTGGTCTAATTTTCTTCCTGATTCCAAAGTGTAAAATTTGTTACCACTGTTGTGTGTGTCATCCCATTCTCCATGAGATGATTTGTAACGAGAGTTCCATTGTTTAGTGAAAAACTGAGCAAGTTCCTTTTGTACCACATTAATTATTTGCTGAATGTACGACAGATATCTTATTCCTGACGATTCCATCTGTACAAAAATTTGGTATGTATCAACAAGATAAAAATCAAGCAATTCAAAAATTTGTTAATTATTTGTTAATTGATTTAACTTCACCAAAAACGTACTAAAATTACAAAAGAACCTAAAAACTAATAATGAAGAAGAGCATGTATGCTACAGTTTTACCAACTGCAGTATCCTCTCAAACAACCTTCGAAAAAATTAAAAAACATGATATTTCACCTTAAAGTTTACGTTACCAAACAAACATAAGAATATATATTTAAATAATTTGTATAGTCATTCGTGAATGTCATGCATTTGTATCTAAGATTATCTTTTAATGTTGTAGCTAATGGCTTTTTTTGAACTTATAAAGGTTTATGTTTATTTAATTTTATAGATTCTAACGCATTTATTCAAACTTGACTTTATAAATATATTTGTTTTACAACATGTTGTAACACAAGATATTGTTTTTCTTGGCTATATACGACAATTGATTGGCAATGGTAAAATTCTTAATCAATTTTAAGATCATGAACCACTATGATATAAAGCAAAACCTGAAGCAAATAATGGACTATTTTGAATAAATTTTGATATGAAATGAGAATTTTTAATCTATGTTGATATAATAACGCGTTTTGAAGTGATCATTTACGTAAACTCAAATGATGAATATTGCCTTTTGGTCGTGCGTGACTTTTTTAAAACGTGTATCTATAAATACGATTAAAGTTTTCAGATATAATTTTTCTGAGCTTTTACGAAGAATTTTTTGTTCGCAAAATGCTTTAGATCAGAATGTTCGTAACTTGTAACCCTTCTAGATGGTACGCACCGACTGAAAAGAAAACTAAGAGATAGCAGATTCTAACAGTTTTGATAAGGGAGAAATTAAAAATTGTTTTTTTGATTGTGTGCTGTTGCAAACAGCATTGGCTATGTATGAAAAGGCATCATTTTGCGACGTTTTCGAGAATCATAAAAAATGAAATTATCTTTTCATATTTGCAAGTGTTAAACACTATGGACAAGGATGGTAATCATGAAGTTATATTCTGAAAGACAAGAAGGCTGTGAAACGTCATAATGAGGATAAAAGGCAGAAAAAAGGAGACAAATATTAACAACATGTATTTTATTTGTTTAAAAAACAGCTGGCATTCAGAGGACATAGTAAATCAAGCTTTAGCTTGAATAAAGACTAGTCTAGAGAGCTTGCAAAGTCATATGAAAATTTATGTTTTGTCTTTGTCTTGAATACCAGAAGTGACGTAAGAAACGGCGGATGCACAGTTTGTGATTTCACTGATGTATTACGTGATGTCCAGAATTATTTGATTGCCTAACTGTATTGATATTTTTATAAAAATATTCAAAATCAGATTGATGAGGAAATCAGAGAATTTCAGTTTTTTAACTATTCAATACCACGAAACTTTGCATAAATAAACCTTAGCATCAACAAAAGACATTTTCAAAGCTACAAAGATTATCTAAAGGCAGCAATTAAAATCTGGAACTATAAGATTTAAAAAGAAATCTTTAATAGGGTACCTAACTTCGAGGTTTCAGCAATGAAGATAATCCTTCTCTCAGTGGTCTGTTGTTTTTTTCTACACCTAGGAAGTGTGATTATAATCTCAAGTTAACCTCAACTTTGAACTCAGTATTTTACTTCACAGTAACCGAGTAGAAACTTCTGTGCAACTTCCTAATCACAAACATTGACTCCAGCATTTAGCATATATTGAATTTTTTACGATCCCTTCGCCTTTTTTATTTTGATATATCTGCAAACGGCATCTTCTTCGTCACTCTTAACAATTCAACATCTTTATTTTGATGTATACGTTGCGTTGGTTTTAAAAATTGCTTGATGTTTGTGTTGATTTTTGTTGCAATATATAAACATGACGAATTATTTCAATATTGCAGGACTGTCGACATTTCTGCACATGCACAGTTTTTTGTAAATTACTGCTTAAGTATTGTCGTTTACTATAAATGTTGTTTTTATTACGATTATTTCTGAACAGTTTTTTGATTTCCTGAATTTAATAAACAAAACTCATATTTCATTACGGGGACAGTTTTTTTTGGTCACCCACTGTAGATTTGTCGTATCGCTATGTGTGACAACACGTCAAAAATAACATCTTTTCTTTCAAGTGTTGCCAAACAGAAGACATGTTTAGTGATATAATGACCAAAACACTTTCAAAAGTTTAATATCAAAACTTTACAAAACTATTAGGAGTAGTTGAAATCAAAGAACAATGATAAGGTTTAAGTTTGAATCATGAAGATTTGTTAGTTTGTTAATATCACAATTAAGTGGAAGGGTTAAAAGGAATTAACAAGTTGTAATATTCATATCTCAGGACACTTGACACGAATGTCGTCACATATGCATGCTTCCTTTTACACATATGTGCAGAATTGCTTGATTGAATAGCTGTACTTATAAGATTATCAAGTTGATAGAAAATCAGCGATCTTCAGTATTGTTTTATTTAATGTTATGAATTTGCACATATCAACCCTAGCGTCAACAACTTAGCATCGACGAAAGACAATTGCAACGTCACAAAGATAAGCAAAATTCTTTAGTCCCATTTAAAATGTGGACTTACAAAATCGAACAAGCGATACTATAGTTTATGACAAAGATAAACACAATTGCTGATCAATATTTCTACTTCTAAAACGACTTAAATACCTAAACTATTCAATGATGACATGCAAGAGTCCATTTGTGATTTTAAAGAAAATGTACTTCATGGTGAGTCATAAATAATAAAATATACTTTAAAATAAGCCTTACCTTGTTTAAGATGGCAGTGATTTGTTTTTGGTAAGCATATTGTTCTTGTTTGGAATTGTAAATTCCTTTGATTTATCTACAATTACAGAATTTACAAACTTCCATAGGTCACATTTATACGTCACAGTCAAGCATGAAAATTATTTGTTTTTGTCTTAAAACCTTTTACTGGTTAACGGCGTGTAGCCTTGAGCAGTTGAACTTTTAGAAAGATTTAAAGTTCTGACAACTTAAGCATCATATGTTCTTCCTTTGAGTCGATAAGTGGAAATTTATTTTGTGCTACGGAATTTAAAACATCTTAAGAATAGATTGTTATGTAAAGCAAAGATATGGTTTTATGATTTTTATTGTTTTTTTTTTATAAGTTTGATTATAATTTGGAACAAATTGATCAATAGAAATAAGTATGAATTTTACTAAATTATACCGTTTTAAGATATTTTGGAACTATGATCATAAAGTGGAAGTATTGAAAAGAAAATTAAGTTGTAATACTCATATCTGTTTTAAATTTATTGTAAGTATAATGCGATGAATTTGCATACATGAACCTTCGCAACCAAAGCTTGACGAAAGACAATTGTAACGTTAAAAAGATTAGCAAATTTTTAGCCGCATTTAATAAGGACTTACAAATTAGCTTATCACAAAGATAACACACTTCCTGATCAATATTTCTACTTCAAATACGACTTAAATATCTAAACTATTCAATGATGACATGCATGAGTCCATTTGCAATTTCAAACTAAATTATCTTCCGGATTCATAAATGTGATTTCATACTATCACAAGTATAATGAAATAACACATATTTTATAAATATACCGTCCGGACCCAAAGATAAATATAACTGCATGCGAGCAAGCAATTTGAATTTCTTAGCAAGCGACACATCACGATAAACACGCCTTCGTTTAGATGACAGTGATTTTTCGGTAAGCAAATTGTTTGTATTTGTAACTTTGTTTAATTGGTGTGCAACTACAGGATCACAAGTTGCTACGGGTATCTATGATGTATATCTTATTGTACTAGGTTGAGACTAATATTTATTAAAAGTGTATTAATTATATTTGACGAACAACTTTCATTTAAGATCTCATTTATACATCGTTTACACACGATAATTCTTTGTCTTTTGTCTTACAAACCTTTTACTGGTCGATGATTGAGGCTTTGAACATTCGATCTTTCAAATCACTTAACGTTCTGAAAAGTTAAGCGTCAAATGGCTTTGTCCTTTGAGTTGATACGTGGCAAATTATTTTGTGCAACTGAATTTAAAACATTAAAAGTTTATTGTTATGTAAAGCAAAGATACGGCCTTATGAGTTTTATTGTTTTATTAACATGTTTGAATTTTATTACCGTTTCCTTGGTATTTTGGAAGTTTGTTAAAAAAAACCTTAGCTCCATAATTAAGAGTTCGTCTTATACATGAAAATTCACAATATCATATTGTGGAACTTTTGTTTCATTTGCTTGTTTAAGTTGAATAAGGCAAAACAGGCGTTCGTTGGTTTAAATGTTGGGAAAAGTAAATCTCACGCCTTGATAAGATAACATTACATTATATTCTGATAAATTAAATGAAGGAAAGTTGATATAGAATTCTTATTGTAGAAACTATAAAGATTTGTTAAGATCATGTCCGATGTTTGGTTGTATCATTTAGGTATATTTCAAGCTGTCTCCTGGTAATCAGAATTGATCCGTAAGATGGCAAAAGTTAAGTCTATTAAAAGCACAATTCAAAACGACTTCACACAAAGAATATAAAAATGTCCATTGCTGTAATTGAATTAACTAATTAGTTTTTAACTAGTTGATTGGCATAATTTTAACCCAAAAAGCCTCAAACTAAATTAGTCAAGAACTGTAAACTGAATAAATTTTTTTTATATATAGACATATACACCATCTCCATGTAGTCCAAAAGCTTTGTTTTATAAACAATGTTATACTCAGATATCTCAAGATTACAAGTATCATGTGTATTTCTGCGATGAACACTACATCGGGTTTCTTGCTTGGCAGCGAAATCGCGAATTATTTTGAGCTTTTCTTTTAAATGTGAAGCCTAATTATATATGCAAAATGCACTTCCGGTTACCCACTAGAGATACAAATTACTATAGAAATGTTTGGCGGATAACGTTTACAAACAAGGATTTTCGAATATTTAAGGCATTTCGTTTTACTTATCTCAAATATCTGTCATGGATAAATAAAGTTATTTAAATCAATTTGACATCAAAATTATTTCGATACCTGTAAAATATCGGCGTTCGTGTTCATTTGAAAATCGCTCGTGCAAGAATCGAATTTGCCTAATAGTTGTCAAGACAAGATAATACAGCTCGCTTTCCAAGTTTAGAGGCAGTTATGATCTAGAATATGTTTCAATGCGTAAAATTGTGGTAAGTACCTTTATTTTATCATTCTTTATAATCTAGAGATTGTCGTATGTTACTTTTGCCGTTACTTTATGAGTCCGGGTATATTAGTGTAGGAACAAACAAATTTACTAAGCTTAGTTTATTCTTAGTTTTAATTTCTATTTTTATTTTATAAAGATAATATTATCACTACACCTTGCTACAGCATTTGGATATGGTATTCATCAGTACGTATGGTTGTTATTGTCATAACATGCAGGGACGGATCTAGGGTATGTCAAATCAGTCACGCGACTGATGTTTATAGTTCAAAAAGCATATCTGGAATTAACCGAATTATATTAACTGACTGACTGATAAGCGGTGATGATTGATATTTTTTAACATAGGGTTATGTGATTATGTGATTTACAAAATGTTTTTGATTAAGAATCACGTAGCCTTAAACCTTAAAATAGTTGTACTTTCTAAATTTTGCAAATCACAGCAGTTTTTAAACAGTGATATAATTTTACAAAGAGGTAATTGAATGTTTATTCATAACAATGCATGGTTGCTTTATAATACTAGTAAGTATCGTTTGTCCAATTATTGCATTCAAGACAATATGTAGTTTACAACCCACTTTTTTATCTCTTAGATTGGTTTATTAACTTCGCCTATTTCTTTAGTAAGCTTGCAATGTCAGTTAAATTATTTTTATTTAGTTGCTTAAAACATTTTCCATTTGCTGTTGTTAGCAAGTAAACGATATTGTTATACTTAAAATTTTAGGGTTATGTATAAATTAGATATGATACATGCATGTAAAGAAGAGAATATGTTACAAATGGTTGAGGAGACATATAAGTTACCATGACCTGTGAATGGGAATTATCATTTTTTTATTAAAACATTTTACTTAATGTTGTGATCACTAGCACTTAGGGGGAATGGGTTGTAACATTAGGATATGTTTAAATCAATCAAAAATAAATAGAGTGACAGTTACATTTTATTATTTATTTTAGTTCATATCATAATGAAACGTGACCGGGTGCAATATAGAAAAAACTGGATTGCTGCTAATAAAGCTTTAAGATGCAGTGATGCAATGCCTAATGATGATGGCTGTAGTAATCTGTTCAATAATGTTTTTGATAATGACCTTGGACATTCACAACCTTTACAAAAAATCAACTTGAACCATTGACAGTCCTAAACAAAGTTCTTTCTCTTTAAAAGTTGGTCTTAATGATTGTGATATTGGGGAAAATGACTGTGCTGTTTCTGGTGAAGTTGATATTTTAGAAGTTTCTTTTTGCCATGGGAAATCTGATTCTTTAGTACATGTGAATGCAGATATTCGAGAAAGGCATTTTTCTGATTCTTCTGATTTTGAAGATGATAGTTTAAATGTTTCTTTTCAAGATGGGTTAGTTGATTTGGTGAATGAGTACTAAATTAAGCAAAATGCTGTTGATGGTTTACTTTCTCTTCCTAAGGATAATGGTGATTCAAATTTTCCTAGTTGCGCTCGCACTTTGTTGCATACATCAAGATGTATTCCCATTTAGAAAAAATCTAAACACAAAGAATCATGCAATAAGTTCCACATCTACTAGTAGGACACCATCTCAGCGTAGTGGTAAGTTTTCTGTCATCAGAACTGACTAATCAGCAACTTTCATGTATTATGTTGACTAAAATGTTGAAATAATTTTGATTGATTCTTTTTAAATAACTTTAACATTCGTATGGTACATTTACTGTTTTTCTACGTCCATCGTTGCATCATAGGGCTTATGAATGTTCTACAGGTGCTGTAGGCGTTGGTCCTTTAAAATGTTGTAATTAGTTGACAAAATGTTAGTTATAGTTAAAATTACAGTTGTGTTCACCAGGATTTAATCCAAATACATTCGCTTAAATCTAATTCTCAGTGTTTGCTATCAAACTACTAAATGAAACTTTCTCGAGGTTTTTATTTTAGTCACCTTTCTGTTTCTGACTTTTGAAACTTGTAGTGCCTTAATTTAAATGGCGTTCGTGCGTGCAATAAAGATATATGTTAAACCCAGTACGTGTCTTCTCTGTAGATACAAGCAACGTCTCTTCACAAGAAATTCCTACAACAGTCACAACAAGAGAAAGACATTCTCAACGAAACAGTGGTGTCTTAGGCAAGCTTTTCTTACAATTCATTATTGCATATCTTGTTGTTACGTTTTCATTTACGTTCATTTCGTGTCGTTTGAAATGTTTTTTTCTTCACAACTAACTGCAACACGTGATTGCTTTGCAGAGGCGCATGACCTTTCATCGCACGAAACGCCTTCGACAAGTTTTATGAACATAACACCTGAAGGAAGACGTTCTCAACCAAACATCAATGGTACCTATTTTACAATACATAGTTTTTGAATAGCGTTGTTACTATGTACGTGTATTCAATTAGCAATTTGATGCGAGTTTTATTTGAATTTTCTTTTCAGCATGTTGTAAGGTTTTATATTTTTAAGATATTACGTAGATTATACATAAGTTATTCTATTATTTTCTTATCTATCTTGTATGCTTCCAAAGATAAGTTCTCACCAAACTGGAAACATTAATTGATAAGCAAGAAGAAGCGTTGTCAGTAATGCGTGCTCTGTTCAGCGCTACGAAAGGTGTAGACGAGCACGAAATTTTGGAAGATTTTGTACCTAATCCCTTAGATTCGGTTGAAGAACTTGAAGAGCTATCCTCTAGTCATGATGAAGAAAAGTCCAGAAGAAAGTTGGTAAGTTTTGGAAAGTTAACCACCCATACGTATTTAGTAATATTTATTGGCACTGCCTATTTTTTATGCATGATTCTTTCAAGTGTTACGTAAAAAAATCTGTCAAAGGAAGGCATAGCCCTTCCTTTTTATCGGTTTGGAAACGTGAAAACGATTCTTTCATTTGCAATTACGTAACAAAATATTTACTTTTTTTCTACCATTTGTGTTTGAAGCTTGAAAACATGCACGTTTTTCAAAGTCTGAAACGTAATTTTAGTGACGATTTTCGTGACGTTAGGGGGTCATATTATTTGATTAAACTCTATGAATCTAGCATCGTGTTTTTTGTGAGAGCATTGTCGTGTTCTGATTGATTTAAATACGTTACTATACTACAAACGGCTCTTAGGAGTGTGTCGTTTTATTTGTGCTGAAAAATTTTAACGAAGAAATTGGTCTTTCTAAAAGCTATCACCATTCACTTTGGATGGTTTTGTTTTGCAATTCGATATCAAAATGGTTATATGTATATGTCTAAATTGAACTTTTCCATATAATTTATCTTTTACTCTCTTTACTAGCTGCAGTTTTTGGTAGCACTGAGCGCAAACACCTGTGCAAACAGTGTTAGAAGAATTATGACAAAGCTGGGAACAAATAGTCTATGGTCCCAATATAGTTTAAAAGGCAGAAAAGCAAGCGACCATTTCAACACCTTGCCCTCGGCAAAGTTATAACAAGTAAACAAAATTAGACGATAATGATTGCTGCAGCAGTACCATGTTTTGTCTCTTTTCTCGTTAATAAATTGGAAAAACAGCCATTTATGTTGCTCCTTGTCATAAGGAATATTGTTGCAAGTTTTAAAGGTTAATACATTAGACTGTTTTGCATATGTCACTATAATGAATTGTTGTTTATCATTCAGCTTACGAAAATGATTTAGTGTTTTATCTATGCAATTTATATAAAGTATGTCTTTTTTGTTTCGTTTCACTTGTTAGAAGCCTGCCTCAAAGCTCATAAAGGATGCAGCGAGGCCAACGTTGAAGAGCAAATTGCCGAATTTTTAAAATATGCTCCAGGCAAGCAAGGTGGTTCCAGATTTAAGGTAACATGTCATTATCATCATAGATTGCTGGGTAAAGTATATAGATGCCATTTTTTCTTTGTTTGATTTTCTCAACTTAGACAGGGAGAACTCAACTTATTTTACTCCCTACTTTCATAGTTAACATATTTGTATTTTCTTGTCTGTGTAAGTTGAGAAAAATACACAATAACATTATTGGCATGTGCACTTAAAGAAAGTGAGCATGTGTCTTTCATTGTCCTTCAATTATAAGTGAAGCAAAATGGAATGGACACATATACATAATGCCGTACCTTTAAAAACGTTCATTGTAGTGCAGGTATTAGATTTGTGCAAGTTTTAAATTTAGTTAACTCAAACAGCATGATTAGACTTATAATATACAATTTGCTTAGCGTGATATTAAACAATTATTGAATGAAATAGTATATGAATTAAGACTTATGAAGGCCAAGGTTTGTTCAATCTACCAACGCTGAGGCAGATAGTGTTACACATTGATGACTTGATATTTTTTTTATATTACGTGAAAACCCAATTCAATGATTGTTTTATTATTTATATAAAAAGCAAGTGTTGGTTAAATGTGAAAAAGGTGCCGTAGCGATTAAAGTTTTGTTCACTTGTTTTGTTTCTCGTGCGTATGAGATGACGTTGTAGCGCGAGATAATTTCTTTTGTCCGACGTACGTAAGCAGACGATTCAGTTTTCCATTTAAATGGCATCTTTTACAGACAAATATGTCAATGTTGTTGTAGGTGGTAAGACATATAAAAATGATGTATAGACGACCATTTTCTAATAATCATATATGTTATTTTGTTGCAGGTGCGAAATTGCAACTTATTGGAATCGACTTAATTAGCATTTTTGTAAATATGTATATTAAAAAACGCACTGCAAAGTATCATTGGAAAGGCAGTTTTATGATTTCACAAATAATGCATCATTTATTGTATGTTAAATGAACGTCGGATAAACGTTGTATGAGCGTTGTATAAACGTCGGGTTTTCAGATAAAACTTACAGAAATATAAATTACAAATAAATGGACATCATTTTATGATCTTGCTATATCAAAGCTGCATGTTAAATTACATTTACAATACAATATAGCATAATATCAGCACAAGTGTATTATTAATTTACAAGGGTATCGTGGATGGATGATACAATAAAAAATACAATGAACATTCTTCAAAATTACTAAAATGTAAAACTGAATAGAATAAAAATCATTTACTGGAGTGAAAAATAATAATAAATTGGCAAGTAATCACGAAAAATAGCAATAATTGCTTTGCATGATTTCATCAAAGTTGGCGCGCCTCATTTTGTGCTCCCATAGCCGGGTTTTGCACACATAATTCGTCTACCTCGTCCAAACGCTCGCTAGTCCATTGTATAGTAGATGTATTAGCTCTCACTTCACGCTCTAAAATTTCCACTTTTTCAAAGAGATTGACACAAAAAGCAGAGACTTGGTCAGCCATGTCTTCAACTCGCGCAAGTGATTCGTCAATATGGCCGAAACGCTCGTAAAACTGTACTATAATGAATGAATTATCTCTTGCTTGCCGCTCGAGGGTCGCAATCCTTTCACGCATCGAGGAACCATCTACAGACAATTGAGTGTTATTATTATTGCTCCCATAAAGACTTTCTAGACTCTCAATTCTCCTTTCTAAGCCTGTAAGTTTTCCAACTAACATGAAAAATTTGTCTGAAAGATTGGCACGAACAGCAGTGATTCGGTTGCCCAGGTTTTGAATAGCAGTGGTAAACTCTGGACGTGGTACATAGTTACTTAACTGTGTAACAAATGCCATAACATATCGTAACAAGGCGCTCACGTGATCAATTAGATTGTCTTTCATATGATGACGGATCTCCTTTCGTTTTAAAGTCTGTGAAAAAAGAAAAAGATAATGGCAAAGCATTATTTTCCACAAAATAGCGTTATTTGCAACTATTTTCGGTTATCTTTATCTAATTATGATGAAGAACAAATTTTGTTTCCTCTAAGCACTGAAATCATTAAATTAATAAGAATGCACAAACATGCCCCGTTTTCAAAGAGAGAACCTATACAAACCAACTTTCTGACAAGTCAAAGCGGTTTGACAACATTACAAACTAATTATTTTACATATTGCAGCACAAAGTATCACAGAAAAAACAAACAAACAGAAATTTCATTCTCGAAAAACGGAAGAGGGTCAGGGTTCAATAGAAAACTTTTTTTTAATATATTGAGCAAGCATAAATGATTTGTTAAGAACAATGTCAATTTCATGGAATGTTAATGCTATATTCTTTGGAACTTTCAATAAAATTTAAATTTTGGTCAAAGAATTTTGCAGATACGTTTCATCGTTGCAAACATGAAATTGTAAAATAGTTCAAATATTCTTACTTTGTCATGTCTGCATCCAATAGCTTGAAATTCACAGTCAGTGGGCACTTCATCACAAATTGTACTTTCATGGTGCTCAATATCCTTCCTGGGTATCATTTGATTGCAATATTTACAAGTGACGAATGCATTTTCACACACATTTTCTTTGTGATCCTACATGGCAAAAAAAATAATACAAGGTAACGACTGTTTGGTGGATATAAATTTCAATCTAATTTCTTAAAAGGCGTTAAAAAGGAGTTGATTCTTTTTGCCAAGTAAGAACAATAATCAGTATACAGATGTATAATAAGATACACATTAAGACACAGACTATTTATCTCATCTTGCTGTGTTCCCGTGATCAATGGACAAATATTTTGCTTACCTTAAGTGAAGCATACGGGACATCTTTACCACAATATTCACATTTTACATTTCGATATTCACAATCATTCTTCAAATGTTCATCAAGAAGAGAGCGAGGTAACTGAATGTTACATTGCTTGTGTATACAGCTAATGAGCGCATGCTCACAAACTTCAGAATGACCCTGACAAAAAAGAAACTTAATAAGTAGGACAACAATATTTTGATAAATTTCTTAACGCAACTCACTTCCAATTCTTCGTATTTACCAAACCATTTACACTCTTCAGATGGACAGTGTAATTGAATCCTTTTTAACTCACGCTTCGTAAAAACATCCGGGAAAACCTAGATGGATCCATGGAAATTGATCTTTTATGAAACAAGATTAAATGTAGCAAAAGACAGAGTCACTTCACTCAAATGCAAGTTAGCACTAGACGTTAAATGAAACAGTAACGTAAATTTCTTACAAGAACTGTTGGCAAACTTTTTTGAAGTAGAATTCGCCGACGCACTAACGCTAATTGCAAAGGCTCTTAACATGTAGACTCAACAACGAGCTCAACATGTTCAACACCGTGTTTAGGAGAGTTGAGTAGTAGCTATTAAGCGGTGCTAAGCGTTGTTGAGTGAAGTTTGAACTTGCTCAAAATTTCCACTCAACATCACTCAACATTTGCTTTGTTCCATGGTCACCAAACCGCACCTCAACTTTGTTTATAGCGCAATGAAACTTCTGGTTTTTAAAACAGCACACTCAACATGGTGAGCGAAAGCATGCACACTACCTGTGCAGCTTATATTGTTGTTATTTACCTGGTCACTGAACCGTTTATGTACCTGTATATACGCTAATGGTGGAGTATTTTATCTCATGATCCTACGCGATATCATTTGAAGACTCAACATGTTGAGAGCGTTTGCACACATCGTTTAGCATCACTCATCAAACACAAAACAATGTTTAGCGCATGTTAAGTCAACATATTGAGAACGTTTGCACGTTGCTTTGATAACCCAAGTTGCAAAAGGATTTTCTATGCCACAAGACACGACAAAATACGTAAATCGCTGTATATTTTATAGAACTCAAAAAATAATTATAATTATAGTTGTTAAGCCAACATGCTTATTTAGTCGTGCTATGCTAATTTTTCTTTGCTCATTAACTGACAACCCTGTAATATGGAAAATATTATGTACTAAAATTTACAAAGCAGGACTAAACTTGCGGGATGGCTACGCTAATGATCGATAGCAACAAGACTGTAATTGAATTTTCTGTCAAATCTTTGCAATATTTTCACCTACGTTTTCCTTGGTCAAATTTTCTTTATCTTCAGGACATTTTGGATCAGGATTTCTACAGATTGAAAAAAACAAAAACTACTAACAAGAATGATCAATTTTGAAGAGTGGATGGCGTAACCAGTTCGACAGTTAAATAGGGGTGGTGGTGGTCAGTATTTGTACATGAATGTTCTGATAAATTACGTTCCTAGGAAAGCAGCTGTTATTTAGGATTGTAAAAATATGAGTATGATGAGCTCTCCCTAGTCTCCTACGCAACAGTTTTTAACCAAAGTCGTATCAAGAGATCTAATAGGGAGCTTTAGCAGAGCCTACGAGTACGACTACGAGCATGATTTACGTCATTTTGGCGCGAAAACATTGTTGCGACAACAAAAACACGTAGCCGTCATCAATCTGAGTACGATGTTTTGTAAAAAATTTGTAGTCGCGACTACGATGTCTTTTTAAGCAAAGAAAGTAGGTATATTTCTTCATTCTGTAAGAAATTAGTTTACAGTACTATTTTCGAGCATCCAGGCTTTAATTTAGAACCCTTTTTGAGCGCAGATGTACATTAAAAAGGAAAATATGACCTGCAAAACTTTCATGTATTTCGTACGGAAAGTGAAAGGTAAACAAACAATAAAATAGTACAAAAATATCGTACTTAAAACTTAAAATAGTGAAGATTTTTCAGTCTAAAGAGTCCTATATTCTCGCAAAACCAGTATTACCGATTCATTGATATCATTAATGACAAATAGAGCGGTAGCTGATTCGCAAACGTCGGTGTTTTACACCATAAAAAGGCTCGTTCTGTTGTTTACACCTAAAGCAAAATTTTGACGAAGCGATAACGACAACAACCTTCCTCGTGCCATTCCCTTACACGGTCAAATTTCGTACTCGTAGTCGTAGTCGTACTCTTGCTAAAACTCCCGACTTAATTGAACAAAATGATACGCAGGAATACTTTGGGAAATGTGATACGATATTGGGATGCATAATCAAGGCGTCTATTGAAAGAGCATGTATGACAACTACTATAACTTTTTATAAATGATTTGTTACATAAAAAATGACGTTACCCAAGAATATGTCCATACAAGATTTACAAAACAAATGTCCACACGAGGTCTGCATTGGATTTATGAGAAGGTGATGACAGTAAGTACAAATATACTTCGCTAGGATTTTTTCTTGATCTTCATCACGGATCTTGATTCCAGGCATCGTTAACAAAGTCAAAATCTGTTTTCAAATAAAAAAAGTTTAAAACACGTAACTAGCATACCAAAAAATAAACACAAACACCACGTTTCTTTAAATACCGAAGAAAAGAGAAAACCACCTGCAGTTTATGGAAAAATAAAAAAGACGTTTGGGCAAATGCACCTTACGTGATCAGGATTTTAAAATATGTTTAAATGCCTTGATTTTTTTTTGCTTTTTCCACTTTCTTAACGCTATTGTACCAACAATAAGAGCTTTTACTGTCACTGTCTGTGACAGCGGAAGACGTTTTGTATAGAGCGGTGTAGCAAAATACAAGAAACGTCGTAGCAGGCGCTTGGCATTCAGACTATTAAGCAAAGTTTCAGCTTCATTAGGTCAGTCTGTATGAGAGAGACAGACAGTATGAGAGGCCATTTATAAGTCAATTGTTTTCCATTATCGAACAGGAACTTATTTCAGAAAAAAAAATTGAAAACCTCTTTGTAACAATGAATACCTTACTTGTATTAAAATTCGAGTCGTACTCATTTTCGCTCAGCTTTAAATTCGCGCGATTTAATTTCGCGCACTTTGTTGACAATTATTCGCGCAGCTTTAAATTCGCGCAAGTAGTTTTATGTGCTCGTTCTTTTTGGTTTGTTCAAAAGAACTATTAATAATTAACGCATTTATATTGAGCTTTCTTTATTAAGAAATACCTCAGTACTATCCCCTTCGCTATGGAAATAGCAATGTTGTAATTGACAACACAACCAACCATTGTCACTGGTCGGACATTTGCCTCGAGAGATTTCCCGATTTTGCAAGTGCTTTTTTGAATATGGGGGCAATATAGAAGCATTTGTGTGTGACATCAAATTTCGTCGATCCCCATAACCACAAGGAGGCTTGGAGATTCCTATTACCCTAACAGTCATGCAGAACAATGCAAGTTTTAGGATATACAGCAAAATGCAGGCATTCGTGACGGAATACTACGTAGAACCTGAGAATATCCCGACTGAAATTGTACAGGATGAAAATGAAGACATTTTTGATTTTTAATGTTACCAGGACAACTAAAAACATATGTCAATATGTATATGCGTTAATAAAACAACTGATTTGCATAACCAACAATGAATGTCTCATATTACACTACAAAGCTTTTCGCGCGGATTATATTTCGCGCAGTACTAAAATTCGCGCACTCAGCGCTGCGCGAATTCTAGTACTGCGCGAATTTTAATACAAGTAAGGTAATTGAATAATGGGAGGGGGGTCTTGGCACCTCCATCTTAATCATTTTGGAGGCTGCAACCTCCATAGCCACCCACCCCCTACCTTTGGTCACAGTTTAAATGGAAAGTCATGGTTTGTTTGATTGTTGGTTGACTGGTTAATACTGACTATCTTCTGCTATAGTTACATTCAATTATCTCAATTTAACTTTGAGTGACTTTTATGTTAACACCATACATGATTCATTGACACTCAGCAAAGAAAATTGCCCTTGACAAATGCAAATTACAAAAATCACTAGAAATGACCTGTATGTAAATATTCTGTGGCATTAATGTCCATTTTAAGAATGAACACACGAAACAAATAAATTATGTAATTGTTTTCACCATGATGCCTGTAAATACATGGCATTCAAACATCATTAACTTTAAAGCAAGAAGCTAAAAGTGCAGGTGTTTTTCCTATAATGGATGGACACACACATTTCAAATGAACATGTTCTCTGTACAGACACCCTGATACCATGGTCATGAATAAATTTTTGTTGCTCACAAATCTAGCCAATGCCAGCATATTTTACGTATGTAGACTTATGTATGATAGTGGTATGGTGCCTAATCATGCATTCAATTTTTTACAATCTGGGTGATGTTTTATCCATTCTATTGCAAGATTAACTTGACTAAACAGTATGCATAGAATAGAAAAGGTAACTTACCCACTTGAGTTCTGGCCCTGTATCTTACAAGTTCAGTGATTGAGTTAGAACACAGAAGGAATCAATCTTTCTTTGCACCTTAAAAAAATACACAAAATGTGAAATGTGAAAACTGGGGATAAATTCAGTGCATTCACTTCTAGACAGGGATGGATCAAGAATTATTTTATGGGGGGACATGAGGTGCTTTGATTTCGATAAGACATTTTTGGATGTCATTGTGTCATGATGGGCTTTTATGTTAAATTCTGTTACTTATAGCATAGGTAGCCTAGTGGGAAATATTTTTGAAGTGTGCTCCACAGAACACAAATCATAATTGCTTTTTTCTCAATTCATTTGTGTATTAATACTTTACAGGAAAATTCGTACAACGAGTAGCCAACGCTAGGAAGAGTGAGAAATTTTGAATTTCAAAGCCTTGGGAATGCCGTTTTCAGCATTTTACAGCAATACAAAATGCTTTATGTGGACATTGTTTTTTTCAAAAAAAAAACTGTGAAGTGAACAATACTTGAATGTTTTGCCAACTGTTAAGGCTCATTAGCATGCTTAGGAGCATAAAATTTACTTTACAATAATGCTATTTCAAAACAGAGATAGTCTTTAAAAATTTCTACCAAATTGTCAGGCATAAGCCCCCCTAGTAACCCCCATTCACACCTCTACGAAATGATTAAAGTTAGAAGTGAGATACAACAAGGGTCAGTCCATGAATGTAAAAAAGCTCAGACTTCAAACAATGCAAGTTTATTGAACCCTTAACCCATTTCCACTTACAGTGGCAGGAAATTCACCTTTTGAGAAAAAATTCAAAATTTTTTTCTGCCAAAGATTAAACAATAAGTATCAGAGAAGAAATTTTGCAATTAAAGTTTATGAAGCCTTTCAGTAGACTATTATCTTATGTAAGTCCATGCAAGTTTTGCTATATAGCAATTACCAGTAGCATTGTACTTGCTAATAAAAACAGAATGTAACCAGCATATCTTTAATCATGCAATTACATAAATGTTAAAATTGGTTCATGTGTCAAGCTTACTGGCTATGATAAATATCTTATTATACAATCAAAACTAGTTAAAATGTAAAACCACAATAATTTAGTTTAAAAATTATAATGATCATCAGAAAAATTACCTAGTGATCATGAAAAATACTTGGCTGTTTTGCCAAATTTCAAGGCTTATCTGCATACCTAGGAACACACCTTTACTTGTTTTTCATACATCAATGGGCCCTTAGGAATTTATGGCAAACAACCTAATATGAGCCGTAGATCAACACACCTTGACATCTCTACATGAGGTGTTCAGCTAGTAAAGGGGACAATATGTGACATGGAACAACATTTCAAGTATGTGAAATAGCTCAGGTTTAATACTATCCCAGTCAAATTGTCAAAATAAAAAGCTTCATGGATCAGAAAAGAGTCAAAATCACAGGTTATAGTAAACAGCTTCTCATATAATCAATGCTAGTTTTCTCAAATCTTAAACAATGTGTAGTATAATTGTCCAATGATTGAATGATCAATGGTCATAAACTGAAAAGCCCAAAACATTTGTTTATAATAAGGTATATAATAACATGGCGCCTTATAGCTACAGATTTTTTCCATTGAAATACTTGGCCATATAACGGCCAAGATTCCCCAAGCACTAAAGAAATCATAGCTAAAAGTCCTTCGGCAACAACAATTTTAGAAGCATCAATCTGCTTACCAAACGCCATATTGACATAAATCGCATCACACACTCGCATAAATTGACTTTGATATTTTACATTCATGCATACATTTCACTTGTCCTTTACTTACGATTTTGGATGTAAATTTCTGCTGAGAAATCTCTAACAAAATGATGGCTTGCTTTTGAACATCAATGACTGAAATGTTTCTCGCGTCTTTGCCCAAACATTTACAATTCATTCATAAATTTTTAACCCTCTTGAAAAAATCGCAATCTGGACAGCATCATTCATGTCAATATATGAATATGTAAAAGATTTTCCCAAATTTCTGCGGTGACGCTGATTATAGTTTCTATCATGCTTTAGCAAATTACTATGAAACGATCAAACATACAATTCAAACCAGTGTTGCCAAATGAAATTTTAAAAATTCACGCTCGCTTGCGTCAAAAGTTCACAAAATGGCAAAAAGTTCATATTACATCTAATTTATAAGATCGGAAGTGAACGGATTAACTCGGACACTTTCGGAAAACCACGGAAATATTGAAAACCCTCGGAAGTTTTCGGAAAACATTGGATAATCCTAAAATCGTCGTTGTTTTGAAAGAACTGTCGAGCTATGAAGATTTTTCATTGAACTATGATTTATCTATACATTCTTTACATTTTTTTAATTTGACTTTGAAGATGACTACCGCTAAGGTTGTCGAAACGTCAGTCAACAACAACAAAAACAGTCCTTCTCAGGACTATACCAGCCTGGACGATCTACATTTACAAATATGTAACGATACTCCCGGGTTCAAACCATTTACTTTATACATTCTTTATGAAAATGATGAAAATACAAAAATTCGTAATATTTAGAAAAGTTCACAAATCTGTGAAATGTGTTCACGATCTGGCAGCACTAACTCAGACAGTAAGCATGACAATGTTACCTCAGTTAGCTATCAGTCGAAATCGGTCAAACCGATCACACAGTAAGATAAAACCTTAAACGAACCAATTACACGAGAGCAATTAGACACCCTTATCGGTCCGGCCACTCCGCTTATCCGTCGAGATTATTCCAGATCGTCCACTGATCTGAAATAATCTTGGTCTAGAAGGGCACTTCAAGCAGACACAACAGCAAAACAGTAAAAAGTTATGTAGATGAGTTTGGATCATAAGATCAAAGTTCGCGAGCATTATGCGGTTCTTCCGGCAAGTCACCCCTCTCATCCAAACTCTCCCACATCCTTTGTGAAATTGTGGAAATAGCAGTAGCCTGACGCTCAAGGGAAGCTATTCGATTTTCCTCACCACGATTCTCAAGATTCTCAATCCTCCTTTCCAGACTATCAATACTCCTTTCCTGACTCTCAATCCTCCTTTCCTGACTCTCAATCATCCTTTCCTGACTTTCAATACTCCTTTCCTGACTCTCAATCCTCCTTTCCTGACTCTCAATCCTCCTTTCCTGACTCTCAATCCTCCTTTCCCGACTCTCAATACTCCTTTCCTGACTCTCAATCCTCATTTCCTGACTCTCAATCCTCATTTCCTGACTCTCAATCCTCCTTTCCTGACTCTCAATCCTCCTTTCCTGACTCTCAATCCTCCTTTCCAGGCCGGTAAGTTTTCCTGCTAGCATCACAAATTTTTCTGAGGGATTAGAACGAACAGCTGTGATTCGGTCACCCAAGTTTTGAGCAGCAGTGGTAAACTGTGGACGTTGTACATATCGTAGTAAGAGGCTCATATGATCAATTACGTTGTCGTTCATATGTTGTCGGATCTCCCTTCGTTCTAAAGTCTGTACAAGAAAAACAAAAACAACAGTGAAAAGATATTCTTATAACAAAATAATTCGCTGCCAGATATTTCAATCTAAACATGGTAACGATGTCATGTACCCTTATTAATCCTTTTCCCTCAAAACGTTTAATCATCAAAATAGTTGGAGAATAAACGAAAAATTACATCTTTCAACTGGACAACCAAAAAAAAACAAACAGAAAATTCAACCTCGAAAAACGGAAGAGGGCAAGGGTTCAAGAGAAACCGCTTTTTTAATACCTGAGCAAGTATAAATGATTTGTGAAAAACCATATCAATTCCATGAAATGTTAATGTTATATTCTTTGGAACTTTCAATAAAATTTAGTTTTTGGTTAAAGAATTTTGCAGATACGTTTCATCGTTGCAGACATGAAATTGTAAAATAGTTCAAGCATTCTTACTTTGTCATGTCTGCATCCAATAGCTTGAAATTCACAGTCAGTGGGCACTTCATCACAAATTGTACTTTCATGGTGCTCAATATCCTTCCTGGGTATCATTTGATTGCAATATTTACAAGTGACGAATGCATTTTCACACACATTTTCTTTGTGATCCTACATGGCAAAAAAAATAATACAAGGTAACGACTGTTTGGTGGATATAAAGTTCAATCTAATTTCTTAAAAGGCGTTAAAAAGGAGTTGATTCTTTTTGCCAAGTAAGAACATCAGTATACAGATGTATAATAAGATACACATTAAAACACAGACTATTTATCTCATCTCGCTGTGTTCCCTTGATCAATGGACAAATATTTTTCGTACCATAAGTGAAGCATACGGGACATCTTTACCACAATATTCACATTTCACATTTCGATATTCACATTCATTCTTCAAATGTTCATCAAGAAGAGAGCGAGGTAACTGAATGTTACATTGTTTATGTATACAGCTGGTGAGCGCATGCTCACAAACTTGAGAATGACCCTGAGAAAAAAAAACTTTATAAGTGAAAATGCCACACTTTTTTGATAAATTTCTCTGCCCAACTCACCTCCAATTCTTCATAGGCACCAAACCATTTGCATTTTTCAGAGGGACAATGTAAACGAATACTTTTCAACTCACGTTTTATGAAATTGTCCGGGAAAGCCTACATAGGTTTCATAGAAAGTCAACGATTCAAAAAGTAAGTTTTACATTAGTAGATACAGTGATGTATAGACTGGGTTTTGTCGTAATAAAGACAAGTGAAGTTCTTCGTGTAGAGCCTTCCGAAGCAATAATTGATACAGACGAAATAAAATTTCCCGCGTCAAAACTATAGAATATTTTCACATACGTTTTTCTTGCTTAATTTTTCTTGATCTTCAGGACATTTTGGATCAGGACCTCTACACATTGAGCAAATACGAAAGCATTTATCAAACGAAAACAAAAAAAATTGTGGGTAGGTGAAGAGATCTCAAAGGATGATTTTGAGTTAGCTGCTTGAACTTCGCCAAAATAATGAACAGAAATTTTAAGCTTTAAAATTTTCAGTGTCGCGTAGAATAATACATCCTTCTATTGCAAATCATCAACAGGCTCTTATAATTGGTATAAGTATGTGAATAATTACAATGACAGCACAACTCAAAGTACATGACATAGAGTTAATTTAGTAAATGGTTTGAGCCCGGGAGTATCGTTACATGTTTGTAAATGTCGATCGTCCAGGTTGGTATAGTCCTGAGAAGAACTGTTTTTGTTGTTGTTGACTGACGTTTTGACAACCTTAGCGATAATCCTCCTCAGAGTCAAATGAGGAGTAAACGTCAGTTTAGCCGTATTTGTTATCCGGTTCTTACGTCATTGTATTGCGTGTACAGGAAATGTGTATTGTCATTGTGAAGTGGTGTGAAGTGAAATATTTTTATTTTTAGTTGTGATGTGTGATTTAGGTGTGATGTTTTTAGTTGTAATGTGTGGGTGTCAATTGTGTATTGTCATTTTGAATTAGTGTGAAGTGTAATCTTTTTAGTTGATCGTTAGTTTGTAGTGTGAATAAGTCGTTTGTAAGGTGCCGGTAATTGCTGTGATCTGTTCAGGGAGGTTTGTTCCAAGTTGGTAAACCAACTTTCTAATGTAAGGCGTTGTCTATAGTCAGTACTGTAAGTAATGCATTTTGCCGAGTCCCAGTAAATGTTGTGCTTTGTGATTCGGTGATGTTCGGCAATGTGATTAGTTTGGTCTTGTTTCTTAGTAGCTCGTTTGCGTTCAGTAAGTTTTATGTTTAAGTTCCTGCCAGTTTCCCCGATAAAGGAGGCGTGGCAGTCGGAGCACTTTATTTTGTAAACTGCACCTTGTCGTTCGTTGGGTTGTTCTTTGTCCTTTATGTTCGTTAGTACTTGTCGTAACGTTGTGATTGGTTTATGTGCGACACGTATGTTGTATGGTCGTAAGATACGCGAGATAGTCTCAGACGTACCTTTGATGTAAGGTATCGTTGCTGTTGTCACTGAGTTGTTCGTTTCGTTGGGTTTGTAAGTGTTGCGTTTGATAAAGTCAGAGTTATAGTTGTTTTTGTCAAAAACACGTTTGAGATAGTTGTTTTCGTTGTGTAGAGCGTCCGGTGAATCACATATGATTTGTGCACGTCTTGTTAATGTTCTGATTGTGGTGGCTTTGTGTGATGTTCGGTTGTAAGATGATTGGTCTAGTAGTCGGTCAGTATGTGTTGGCTTGCGATAAACTGTTGTTCGTAGTTTTTGATTGTCATGTTTTACCAAACAGTCGAGAAAAGGAAGAGTTCCGCTCTCTTCGACATCTTTTGTAAATTGTATGTGGCTGTTCTGTTTGTTGATGTGAGTGTGAAAGTCATTAATCTCGTCTGCATGTAGTGCTGTGATTGTGCCATCTACGTAGCGAAACCAAAAAGGTAGTGCAAGTTTGTAAGTCGTGAGCGCCCGTTCCTCTATAGATTGCATTACAATTTCAGCAACTACAACAGAAACGGGTGAGCCCATTGCTGTTCCATGTAATTGTTTGTAGTGTGTACCTTTGTACTGGAAATAAGTCGAGGTGAGGCAGAGCTTCAGTAGCCCCATAATGCCTTCTGTCGGTAATGGCAGTACGTCCGTGGTGTAGGTAATGAGGGTTTTTGTACAAGTAAGTGCCAGATTAAGTGGAATACTGGTGAACAGTGATTTCACATCAAAAGACACTAGTATATAGTTGTCCGGTGTTTGTATAGTGCACAGTTTTTTAATGAAAGTTTCAGTGGATTGTAGCTTGTGTTTTGATTTGTTTGTAAGTGGTTGCAGTATGTCAGTCAAGTACTTTGAGATTTTGTAAGTAGGCGAACCAGAGAATGATACAATTGGTCGCATGGGTATTTGTGCTTTGTGAAGTTTTGGTAGTCCGTATAGTTTGGGTGTTCGTGGTACTGAACATCTGAGTCGATAGTAAATACGTCGTCTGTCGTTACAAGGGTGTCCATTTTGTTAAAGTAATCATTCCTGTCCATGACCACAGTCACGCGTCTTTTTTTTCTGCTGGTAAAATGACGATGTTGTTGTCGTGTTTTAGTCGTTTGAGTGCTTGTTGTTCGTTCTTTGTCAAGTTGCTGTCACGTATAGAGGATGATTGTAAAGTGGAGGCTATCCTGCTTCTGATCTCGTCTTTGAATGTCTCTGACAAGTCTCTTTGATACGCTAGGACAGCCTCGACACTTGATACTATCGTGTCAGTCGGGATTCGTCTAGGTGTTATGGAATGTTTTAGTCCGTAAGATAGTAGTTGCGTTTTAGTTTCATCTAATGAGCGGGATAAAAAATATTCCTCACCCAGAGACTTGTCAGAGACAACCAAAGACGAGATCAGAAGCAGGGTTGCCTCCACTTTACAATCGTCCTTTATACCTGAGAACAACTTGACAAAAGACGAACAACGAGCACTCAAACGACTAAAACACGACAACAACATCGTCATTTTACCAGCAGAAAAAAAAGACGCGTGACTGTGGTCATGGACAGGAATGATTACTTTAACAAAATGGACACCCTTGTTAACGACAGACAACGCATTTACTATCGACTCAGATGTTCAGTACCACGACCACCCAGACTATACGGACTACCAAAAGTCCACAAACCACAAATTCCCATGCAACCAATAGTATAATTCTCTGGTTCGCCAGCTTACGAACTTTCAAAGTACTTGACGGACATGCTGCAACCACTTACAAACAAATCAAAACACAAGCTACAATCCACTGAAACTTTCATTAAAAAACTGTGCACTATACAAATACCGGACGACTACATACTAGTGTCTTTTGATGTAAAATCACTGTTCACCAGTATTCCACTTAATCTGGCACTTACTTGTACAAAAACCCTCATTACCAACACCACGGACGTACTGCCATTACCGACAGAAGGCATTATAGGGCTACTGAAGCTCTGCCTCACCTCGACTTACTTCCAGTACAAAGGTACACACTACAAACAATTACATGGAACAGCAATGGGCTCACCCGTTTCTGTTGTAGTTGCTGAAATTGTAATGCAATCTATAGAGGAACGGGCGCTCACGACTTACAAACTTGCACTACCTTTTTGGTTTCGCTACGTAGATGACACAATCACAGCACTACATGTAAACGAGATTGATGACTTTCACACTCACATCAATAAACAGAACAGCCACATACAATTTACCAAAGATGTCGAAGAAAACGGAACTCTTCCTTTTCTCGACTGTTTGCTAAAACATGACAATCAAAAACTACGAACAACAGTTTATCGCAAGCCAACACATACTGACCGACTACTAGACCAATCATCTTACAACCGAACATCACACAAAGCCACCACAATCAGAACATTAACAAGACGTGCACAAATCATATGTGATTCACCGGACGCTCTACAAAACGAAAACAACTATCTCGAACGTGTTTTTGACAAAAACAACTGCAACTCTGACTTTATCAAACGCAACACTTACAAACCCAACGAACCCAACGAAACGAACAACTCAGTGACAACATCAACGATACCTTACATCAAAGGTACGTCTGAGACTATCTCGCGTATCTTACGACCATACAACATACGTGTCGCACATAAACCAATCACAATGTTACGACAAGTACTAACGAACATAAAGGACAAAGAAAAACCCAACGAACGACAAGGTTCAGTTTACAAAATAAACTACTTCGACTGCCACGCCTCCTTTATCGGGTAAACTGGCAGGAACTTAAACATAAGACTTACTGAACACAAACGAGCTACTAAGAAACAAGACAAAACTAATCACATTGCCGAACATCACCGAATCACAAAGCACAACATTGACTAGGACACGGAAAAATGCATTACTTACAGTACTGACAATAGACAACGGCTTACATTAGAAAGTTGGTATACCAACTTGGAACAAACCCCCCTGAACAGATAACAGCAATTACCGGCACCTTACAAACGACTTATTCACACTACAAACAAACGATCAACTAAAAACATTACACTTCACACTAATTCACAATGACAATACACAATTCCTGTACACGCAATACAATGACGTAAGAACCAGATAACAAATACGGCTAGCCTGATGTTTACTCCTCATTTGACTCTGAGGAGGATTACCGCTAAGGTTGTCGAAACGTCAGTCAACAACAAAAACAGTCCTTCTCAGGACTATACCAGCCTGGACGCTTGACATTTACAAACATGTATAGAGTTAATTTATATTTTTATCTGTAATACTAGAGTTTCATGTTTTTGGTTGGCGATTGATTCCTTTCACAAACCATTTCAACGTTATATACATCATCGAATGGTAAACATATACAAAAGCAGAATTTCCTTGTTAGTTTGATATTTGACTCTCCAGCATTAACACTGAGTATGTGAACAGAGCCCCTTTAGTAAAAACTTAGAAAGATCTATATATTCTTTTTAGGCTCTCCACCATTTTTTCCCAAGTGTCCATCAATTTTGTAATTGTGCAGGACAATAAAAGATGTTGCTCATTTCCGATTTCATTTAGGGTTGCAAACCCTAGCTATCATTAAAGTTGTATTGTTGTAACGCGACCATCAGTATCAAGTATCAACTGGTAAATTACGTAAGCGCTGAAATTTTTTGCTTTTATATTGATACGCCTAGTTTGGTGCTTTCTATGCGTGATCAGGTTTTTTGACCGCCAATGTATTCCACTCGTTGGTGTAGAGTAGTGTGTTGAGTGTTTTGAGACAGTTTTGTAATTCAGAGTTCGATTGAGAAAGTAAGAGCAGGTCGTTTTCATGTAGTAAACAGTTCAATTTTGTTTTTGCAACTCTCACAGGGGCGCACGAACTATTAAATGCACTGGGTATATAATTGATGAACATGTTGAACGGCTAGAGACGAAGTTACATTCCAGTTTGACACCTATGTGACACTTTAAACAAGGAGTACTTCCTGTTTGCGTTTTGTTGAAAATTCAATCGAGGCGCACATAATTAACATGAGGTGTATGATATGAGTTGACTGATGTTGGCAAAACATTGAATATATGAGACGACTTTGAAATTTATCCTACGATATCGGAATATAGGAGACCACATTGGGATACGTGATAAAGCATTGATCGAGATATGTCACTCGGCATTAGGATAAGCAACAATAATGTTTCTGTGATAAGTGCAAATAAGCAGTCACAAAAAAGATTTGACTCGTCTCCAATCCCTATGAGCTTGGTAGCTCAACGGGTAGAGCGGCGGACTACTATCCCGAGAGTGCAAGTTCAAATCTCGTCCAAGTCACATGTTTTGCATGTGCATATAAAATAAACCGTGTTAGGATTAATATATAAAAAGGTTGTAAACTTAAACAATAAAATGTCTTACCCGAGCAGGATGTCAAAACAAGCTTGACAAAACAAGTGTCCACAAGAGGAGGTTTGGATTGGGTTGACCACGAGAAGATTACAGTAACCACAAAAATACCTTGAGTGAATTTTTTCTCGATCTTCATCATGTATTTTGATTCCTGGCATCTTGGATGTGGGTAAATCTCTTCACACTTTAGAGATAAATGAATAATTATAGTTGAGAATTTGCACAACTGGAAGAAGATCGATTAATTTTCATTTAAATTACGCAAATTAGTTACTAAAAGAACTAGTGTTTTTTAAACACCTTGTGTTCAAACGAATTTCCTTATTATGTCAGTATTCGATCAACTCGTAACTCCATCAATTTACCGTAGTTTCGAGAGTAATGTTTACAAACGAACTGTAGTCGCGGGGGATATTTTTTTTACGCCTCAGTGCTATTAGATTATAATCATTGCTGGAGGAGTTAATAAACACAAAAAATTTGTTGATGTTCTTTTGGACTGCGGTCTGCGTGAGGGAGCGTTACTGTCACAATTAGTTGCCTGACAAAAGTTGATAATTTTTGAATCCCCTAAAAATGCGTCGTATTTTCATCGTTTTATCAATATGATTATATTTGTTGGAAGTGAACCTGTTTTTGTCAGAGAAATTTTTTGACGGTTTAAACACAGAATAGATACACAATTATGTATCCATTCTGTGGTTTAAAGCTCGGCAAATATTTGACAAGTTGATGATATTGTGATATTAACCTGATATTATGTGCTAAACCAGAAACACGTGTTTGCACTTAGCACTCATTATAAATACAATTGTCGCGAGCGGCATAATTCGGCCTTAAGTACATATCTTTATGATATCTTCTCTTGCCGCCATTGTAGAAAAGGGAAGGAACAATGGGAAAATTTGTACAGAGTGTTTAAAATATCAATGAATTGTTGTATGTTAAATAGTTTACTCAAATTAGTATGTATTAAAAACCATGACCAGCCAACAATTTAAAAAAAATACAGTATAAAACAAATTCCGAAAAAAACAAGACATCTTGAGAGCACAAAATATGATTCAGAACAAGACGAGAAGTGAACTGCTAATTTTTCGGAGTCGAATATTTACAGTTCACTTCTCGTCTTGTTTTGATTCATATTTTGCAATCTCAAGATGTCTTGTTTTTTTCGGAAATTTGTTTTATACTATAATATGTATTATCATTGTAACATATTATCCCTATTATAATCTTGTATTGTACTTAATACATCATACTATGTTTAATTAATAGGGTTTAATAATCAAATTATAGTAATAATAGCAATATAGCGGTGATGATACAAAGATTTTACATGTAAATTTTGTATTTTAATATAAGTCACACGTGGGCATGTTTTCCCATAACAAAGAACTATAATCAAAAGCCACAAAGAACTATAAAAACACAGCATAAATAAAAATGTAAATGTTTCAATTTTCAAGTCAACAGTGATAATGAGCTATACCCGCATGCTTTCATGCACTGTAAAAATCTATACAAACATTAACAATGTCGCTTTTCAAACGCTACATAAACAATATGAAAGCAGCGGCAAGAAATAAACTCTCACAAAACACAACAACCGGCTGAGTTGGTTTCAAAAGTCCATTTATTTCGTATACACGGTACACATTTCAAGACACAGCAGCAATGATATGTGTCTGTCCTAACATAACATTATATACCTCAAGTGAGTTTGCTAAGTTCTTAAAGGTTGCGTGATAACTTCCTTGATTGTGTGTACTAACTATAGCAATTGATATGGTAATCAACTGTTTTGTGTATATTCTCAATCTGTCCTGTGATTTTAAACAATTAACAGCTTTCTTGTCTAGACGCTGAAATTCATTGTTTGTGTTACAGTAGCGAAGCTGACGGCAACTTTTACTCGTACTATGCAAATTTTTTGACAAAATTATCGTTTACATTTTTAGAAAATAATTCCACGCATTATTTTTCGCTTGAACGAACACAAAGAATTTACTTCGATGCACGCTCAATTCAACTAATTCGATAAGATAATGGTGCTAATCACAATATAGCTGAGATAAATACCGATGTACTTGTTTGTACGTAATTACAATTTACACATTGCCATGCTTTACCACAACAAATAAATAGTTAATCAAGGCCTCAAAAGAATCATTAAACTCAGCTTAGATAAACAATACAAACGTGATAATGATAAAACCAACATGATTATAATGAGCTAAATCCTAATCCTTTCATTCACAGAACTAATCGATACAAACATTGGTAAAAATATCGCCTTATAAACGAACAACAAATAGTATGAACGCAGCGACAAGCAATATAAACACGCTTACCCTCTCACAAAACAACAGGCGGAGTAGATATCGATATTAATGAGATTTCAAAGTCCTTGTTTACTTCGTACATTTAAAGACGCGGCATGGTAAGTCGGTCGCGTGTAGACTTTTTTCATGCTATTAATAATTGATACAGTTTAACCTTTCATTAAATGCTGAGGTTAACTTCTGCGGTTTATTGTATAAACATACAAATATAAAGGAGCTCTCTGTGGGGCTGTCAAAGACTAAGTAGGTGCAATCAATTGGATCCGCCCCTAAGTGCGCCCAATCACATCAAGTCGTGAATGCACGTGAAACTCGTCATAAAAGTGCATGTTTTTTTCACGTGCCTTAACCGTGTCAAAATTGAATCTCCTATTCTCCGGAAACGGGAAATGGCTCATTGAAGTTATATTTTGTATTCGAACTTTCCTGTTTGTACAAAAATTACATATAACGCAAAACTTTTGGTTGAGGGAGGAAAGGGGTGTGTAACATTTGTTGCTATCACACCATTTATAATCAATCAAACCCAGTCTCTTCGTTAAATTAACTCAATACGCTAATTGTGAAAACACCTTCAAATTGACTCTATAAGTCAATTTGAAACGTCCATTCAACAGGCCTGGTGACTTGCCTGCCTGGTCGCAACCACGCAACCTATCATTTACCACAATCTACTATCCCGCGAAGTTTTGGATATCTTCAATCGTTTAGTGTAAAGTGTATGCTCTTCTCATTGAATTTTTTTTTAATTCAATTTAAACTTTAATATTAAGTTGCGTGGTTCGCATTATTGCTGAAATGAAAGAAAACAATGATATTGGTAAGTAATTTTACACATTATACTTAAGTTATAAAATTACAAATACTGAAATACATAGGCCAATCCAGTGGCTAATTTATATATTGAAGGCTATGTTAGCTTTTAGGAGACCTATACTTTTGCTTGCTTTTTGAAAAGATAAACAAGAGCGCTTATCTATTCCCTTTTTGGTCATAAATGCATCTTAATGAGCAAACATCAACTCTAGTACACTATTTTACAGATAGAAATTACTATACTAAACTAACATTTGCATGCACATATGAGTGATATGATTTAGCTTAGTTAGCTACACCCTACTGACAGGAACAGTCCACAAGTTAAGGTAACCTTGAATGAATATTGATTGTAAGAAACAAATAAGCTTCAAGTTTGTCCAAAAGACTTATATTTTGAAAAAGAAAGTTCTTTCAAGTTAACTTGAATAGCTGCCAGTATCATATTGCTGTCATCACCTGCAAAATACATGTCAATCTGATGTTGTACATATTTTTTCTTTGACAAGTTAAATTATAACAATTTACATATGTAAGTGTGTACAAGACTTTGCATCTGGCAAGTTAAACTGTAAACTGTTTACCATCAAAAACAAGGGTATTTTCATGTTCAATGTAAAAATTATATAGTTGGACTAAAACCTTTGGCATGGTTACTTTCCTGTTCCTCAGTATGTTTTTCTCTATGCTCGTTTATTTGTAAAGTTTGTCAATTAGTAATTACAATATTTTGACTTGTTAATGTTATTTTTTATAGATTTTGATGTACCAGAAATAGATGATACAGAATGTGTTGATGTATCTTCCAAAAAATTTGTGGGTTCATCAAATATTTATTGCAAATGAAATGTGAGAAGTGTCAAAGCATCCTAGAGTCATAATGATTGTGCCCAACAGTGATATAGCAATCTCAATAGTTTGGGAAGCTGGTATTGATTTGAGTGCTTGTTTTGCCATGCTAAGTTCTTAAAATAATTGTTTCTTCTGGATTAAAACATGCAATTGGCAGCCAGTAAATTGCATTTTGTGACCAATAGGATTGACGATATGGCAAATGGCAGCCAGTAAACTAATTAAATATACAGCAGCCAATTGCACAGCGAAGTGGCCCTACTGTTGTATATTCCTTTACTGTGGATATGCTGGCCAGAAGAAAACAAAAAAAAAAAACTTATGTAAACAATTTGAGTGCTTTACAAAAAATAGCGTTTTGTATAGACAACTGAAAATTACGTGAAAGAGCTAGGAAAGTTGTTTGCAACATGTTTAGCTTGGGCTGCATTTGCCTAAGTAGAAAGCTAATTTAAGATTGATAAAGAATTGAGATAGTTTCAGTGTCTAAGAAAGAGAAGCAGGAGCGAGTGTATTTAGATTTTTTGTTCATTCAACAACTAACTTAATGAACATTGTATCATACTTAATGAACGGAAGATTGCTTAAACTCTCTATCGGCCAAATTAGAACTGGCAATCCAAATAGATTCAAATCAGACCATGGTCGCTGAAATAAGGAACTTCGAGGATCTGAATGAAAAGCATCAATCATGTGATTACCATTTCCTTGAGCTATAAACATCATTGTGATCTTCTTTCGAAATGGCCATGTTTGTAGAGCATCGTAATCACCTAGAAATAATATCATACACAATATAAATTTTTATAATAATATAAGTCTTAATAAATCCCAAGGCATATCTTTCTCTTCTATCGTCATTTATTTTCGTACATGATCAAAAAAACTAAATAGTATCACATCACACAAACAAACAATTGTAAGCTTTAGTCTGCTTTTCTGTGAATTGAAAATAAAAATATTTGGCTTTATATTCTTCATACCATGTTCAACATTATTCAACAACTTGTTCCAACGAGACATGTAACTTGTAATCCTATCTATTCCAAAAAGCACAGCGAGTCACGTGACGTATTTTGTACTCTTAGATATTATGCCTCTGGAGCAGTCAAATTACATGATCTCAATTATAACGCAATTTTTGCCATCATCTTGGACAGCCTATTTTATACCTGTAAAAATCCACTTAAAAATTTTGAGGCAGCTTAAGTAGAAACTGTTAAAATAGCTTTACCTTTCATGATAACAAAGAACAAAGATAAATGTGTTTCCTTTCCAAAAACATCACCATTCATATAGATCTTAGCACACATCTTGTAACCATATTGAAAACTGTAGAATGGTGGACTGTACCAGGCATTCTTAACACCATTAATGGCGTCCTGTCTCTTCTTATAGAAGTTGTCTATTTTCCAAAGTAACGTACCATTGTGGCTGTGTTTTACCTGATTTGATCCCAGTGCGCGCTCTTCACGTTGCGCTTCAAGGTTCGTAATGTTCACCATGTTTCTCACTATTGATTCGTCTATTTGATCTAAACGCTTACGAAACCGTTGTATAATGGAAGAATCGTCTCTCGCTTGTCGCTCAAGAGTTGAAATTCTTTCACGCAACAAGGAAACCTCTTGGGACAACTGGGTGTTATAACTATTGCTACTACCACGACCCTCGAGACACTCAATTCTTTATTCCAGAACTGTAATTTTGCCATCTAACATCTGGACATACTACGAAGTTACCAAGCAGTATAACAAATGCCATAACATATCGTAACAAGAGGCTCACGTGATTAATTGGAGTGTCATTCATATGTTGTCTGATCTCCTTTCGTTTTAAAGTCTGTGAAGTGAGAAAAAGATACAGCCAGCACATTCTTTTAACAAAATATTTGATGCTATTTACTGGTAATTTCATTTCAATCTTTATGTATGACTAAGACATTATGTATCATAATAAATCTCGTTACTTAACTTATATTTTATTTATATAAAAAGTAAACGAGAAATTTTTTTTTGCCACGTCTAAGCCTTTCCCAGTCCCCCCAGTCTCCATATACGTGTAAAGTAAGGAGTACAAAGTACGTTGATACTTCAGATTGAATTATATTTACTGCAACTTGCTTATCGGGAAAGCTCTAGCTCCTTAGCTTGGGTAAACCATCAAGTGTATCTTAATAATCATATGTTCTGAATTTATAAATTTGTAAATGGGTGAATATATAAATGTGTACTTCATGTAAACCTGATGCAGATGCATTGAACTACAAAGTCAACGTTATTAACTTTGTTTGTTTTAAATTTTAAAACTTCTAAGCATTTTTATACCATACTATCATCTCAAGGGTTTTTGACGTAAAATCTTTTTATGCAAAGAACAAATGCAAGATTGTCGGTGGGAGCTACTACGCATCTACTACTGCTGACATAAAATTATAAATCAGTTCAAACATTCTTACTTTATCATGGTTGCATCCAATGGCTTGAAATTCACATTTCGTCGGCACTTCATCACAAGTTGTACTTTCATGATGTTCGATATCTTTTCTTGGTATCATTTGAATACAATACTTACAAACCACTCGATAATTTTCTCACATTATTTCTTGGTGCTTCTATCTGTTAAAAGAAAATAAAAACAACATTTTAGTGCATAGATTTGCGTCGGATGATCAACAAAGGAAAGTTCTATCTAACTAGCTTAGCCACAATGACGAAACAGAACACAACCTACATCTTTTATGCAATAACTGTACTAACTTTTCTTAATGTGCCATAGGTCAAAATAATGTGTTATTTGATTCAGATTCTCACGCATGTGCTTCTGTATTGATTTGTGGCAGTCTGTCACCATGGTAGAAATATCGAGTTTACAGTTCAGCATGTAATCCATACATCTTTGAAAACAAATGTATTCCATGGCTGGACTACTTCCCGCCTCGTTTCTCTAAAATAATAATTGTGATTTAAACAGAAAAATATTTACATGTGTCCTAAGTTAAAGTTAACAAAGTTGTATCCCTGCCTTCCTGAGTTAGCTTTACACTGCATCTCTCAAAATGTAGCAGAGACTATTGCCTCTAGACAATTTGTGTCTAAAATATATAGGTTGGAAATATGAGAAGGCATACTTCCCATTACAAAAACCTCTCGAACAAAATCCCACCATCATACATTAGCCATAATAAGCAGGAGGGTGGGGTAAATATAGCCACCCTCAATGTGTCATAAAAAGTAGGGGGTGGGGTAAATATAGCCACCCTCAATGTGTCATACAAAGTAGGTCAATAAGACATACTTGAATTAGTTCAAAATGGAGAATCATGGGCACAGAGCAACAAAATATTGTGTAAGCACAATATTTTGCAAAATGGCCCATGCTGTCATGTCTGCCATCTCCTGCAATGACCACTGTTTTATTCTGCTTCTTCATTGTTTCCAACATGGCCAGCTTCTATTTCCTCCAATGGATCCTGACCATTGGGAAAAGCAATTCCTGACAAAGAAATATTAAATGAAAATAAAAAAGCATAACTTCAAACCTTGAGAATCAGGAAAATCAAAACAACCCATTTACCCTTTGATGTTTGAAGAATGTGGTCAAAGATATGCCTTGAAGACCCATGTGTGTGAATACTCAAAGTACTTTGCTAGCAGAAGCTCCAGACAATAAAATGGCAAATGAGAGGAGAAAGTTTCTCATTAGAATACGGGAACCTGGCAGGAATGATTGTAACTTCCAGTTGTGCACTCCATTTTTACAACTAGGGTTGCCACATGACGTGCTTGTTTCAGCCATAGTACCATCTTTTGATAGTTCAACTATTGGGTTATCAGTACCACATGATGGGCATACTTTAAACAGGTTAAACAGCTGTGGCAAGGTAACAATAAACTTTAGTTATTTCCTGAGGTTGCTTTCTTCTTTGTTCACCTTGATTGTTAGAACAATACATGTATATATTATATTTTGTCTGTTGAGAGACACAAATAAAATGATTGATAACACTGGAAGACTAAATAATGCATATGTACAGCACAATCATACTTTTTTGACTGGTTTGTTTCATCTTCAGATTCTAGCTCTTCACTTTGGGAAGAATCTGTTTCAATGTCATAGTTGTCACAACCTATGGACCATATTTATATGTTAATAAAATTTGTGGTATATAATTTCAGCTATTAGCATTGAAATCAAACTTCACCTTCATTTTCCATCTCACTACCAATGTCAATATCCATATCCATGTTATCATCATCACTACCATCCTGCTTTTCTTCCTCATTCTGATTGTCCACCTTGACACATTTTACTACTGTTCCAACCAGTTTACGTAATTTCTTTTTTTCTATGAAATCATGATATACACAGGTGTTACAATACTCATATTTACAGACCTGCCAATTCTCCCGGTTTCGCCGGGAGACTCCCGCTTTTGCTGCATTTTTCCCGACCTCCCGACAAAGATACTAAATCTCCCGGTTTTTTTAAAGCTTAGGCTTTTATAAGTTTGTTGGCATTTTTATTCATCGCATGGAAAGAAATACTCGATGAATAGCATTCAAAACATAACGTATTGTAGCCGCGGTGCACCGGGAACTGGGCATGACATTCATTTTCGTTTTTTCGTATAATTATTTAACACAAAAGGGCTGCCAGTTAAAATTTTTGTCCATAACACTTGAGGTAATCATTGCCATTTGCCTAATAAATCAATCTAAAAATATGTCGTATACAAGAATAGAAATCTCCAGTTTTTTTGCCAGATCTCCCGGTTTTTCTGCATTAATCTCAAGGTTTTGTAGTCCTTGGGGTTGGCAGGTCTGTATTTAAGTAATTCAATTGCAGGGCAATTCCACGTGACTGACGTTACATTTGAAGGATTTGTTGATGCGAAAAACCTTTATTAATTCTTTGTTATAATATTTCACCCTTCCATTTTTATATGAAATTTTACTTACTATACCCTGTATCTGTTGTCTACATCAAACTAAACTAAATTTAAGTTTTGCTACTGTCTTCGGCATTAAAGTGGCTGTGACTGATGTTACATAAAATGGACAAGACCTTTTAGCACCCAAATTTAATCAAATTTTGTCTGGAAACGTAAAAAGATTAAGTTTTCAATCATTGTTTATCAAATTCATAACATCTATTAATATAATAAATTTATATACAGAAACTCACTTTCTAAGACAAGGGGGGTGCAGCAATGAAAAACAATGTGACTGATGTTACGTGACTGACGTTACAAAACTGTCATTGTCAAATCATAAATTACAATGGTCACCAAAAGCATGATCAGTCTACCTCACTCACACTTTAAACATTTTTTTACATGATAAACACTGTTTCATCATTCAATATTGAGGTAGTTGAAATCTGAGAAATCATAGTGGTCTATAGACCTACTATATCGATGATTAAACATAACGCAAAAACAAACACAAATACAATTTTACTTAGCGTTTTGGTCAGCAGTTATGAACTGAATATGCATGGACTTTATCTAATTCATATGTACTAAATTTTATCATGATTTGCGTGATTTAAAGCTTTTCTATGGTGTGACTGACGTTACATGTGACTGACGTTACAAGTTTTAACACTTGTCATATTGGAGACAGAACTATATTTTTTTTATCTTCTTAGCTTTTATTGCTTGTAAGAGTATAAATTTATAATGCAAAGTGTCTTTTAGAAATTCTATTAAGTAATTTTCTAAAGAAGATAAAAATTATATTCATTTTGTGACTGACGTTACATATTACAGGCACCTCAATGGATGAGTGTTATTATGTTACATATACGTGGTAACCTAGATTTAAACATATCCTATCACATCTTAAGACTTATTCAATTGATTGTTGTTGAAATCAACCTTCTCAGTAACATTTAACACTCAAAATTTTTATCCCTAAATGTCGTCCATATTGTGACCGCATAATTATTGAGTTGAGGCCACCAATTATCATGCCTACAAAATTCTCAGAATTGATTTTTTTAAGCCCAAGCTTAAATTTCTATGCACTTAAGGTCATTATCTATAACTATTGATATGTTTTTCACAAAGAACTATAATAAGAGTTTTCTCTTATGTTTTGTCTATGTTGTGGAATTGCCCTGCAGCCATGTATCTATTTAAATGACATAGAGACACCACAAGAATATATGTTCTTGAAGAAACCAAATTGAATGTAATGAAACAATTTACCTTCAGTAAGTTGTTGGATAATAGCATTCTTGCTTTCTATCGTTCGCTTCAATTGCCTCGTGTTTTCTTTGTATTGAACACATTGCCTGCAGTATTCTTCTTCAATTTGGCAAAACCCATTCTGAACTTACAAAAAAAGATATAATCTTTAGATCTTACAATCTACTAGTGTAAAAAGTCTTTTGAATAAATTATTGGAATAAATTCAATACCTGTACTTCTGCTTGTACTGCAATTGTTTGAACTTGCAAGACATCATCAACAAATTCAACATCAGTATCACTGTCTTCCAAAGAGGTTGCACTTTCAGCTCCAAAAGTGTGTTGACTAGAAGAGCAAGGACCTGCTTATGTGCTAGACAAAATATCTCTAACAACCTACAACAAAATACAATATGGTATCGACTGCAAAAATTAAATTTCATCACGAATTTAAAACGAGCTTCCTTCAATCGTGACTAAAACACCACACGAGTACATACGAGTACATACGACTGACATACGAGTACATACGACTGACATACGAGTACATGTGAGTACATACGAGTACATACGAGTACATACGAGTGAGATACGACTATATACTTGTCACAAACGAGAAATAGCACAATTTCTTCAATAATACAATGATATTTGCATTCACATTTGCTTGTATTTGTCTGGACTCTGGGGCAACAATTTGATGGATTTAAATGTTGAAAAGGTATTTTATTCGCATAATACATTCATTTGTATGTTTCAGTTAATTTGGTGTCTGTTGTGCGCAATGTCTTAAGTATTTATGATACTGATTTTGCAGTTCAAAGACTAAATTACATCAGCTAGAACTTTGAAAAAATTAAAAGTAATCAGAAATTGTACGCATAATATGACACAAAT